AATTATTTTTTCAAATTCAAATCACACAGGGAAGAATGTCAATACAATTGTCACTGGAGACTCAATGGTAAAAGGAGTAGACAGGCGTTTCTGCAACCAAAGACGTGACTCTCGCATGGTATGTTGCCTCCCTGGTGCCAGGATTGAAGACATCAAGGAACGGGTACAAAACATCCAGAAGTCGTGGTCCATGTTGGGATCCATGACGTAGGGGAAAAAAGGGCTGAGATCCCACAGGGAGAGTATCAGAAACAAAGGAAAAAGTTAAGAGTAGAACCTCAAAGATGGTGATCTCTGGATTACTCCCAGTGCCTCGTGCAAGTGAGTATCAAAACAGCAGGATCAAACACACGAATGCATGGATGGAGAAATGGTGCAGAAAGGAGGGCTTCAGGTTCAGGGACAAGGAGCAATGAAAGGTGAAGATACTCAACTGGAAGAGGGCTGATTTCAGTGAGTTAAAAAGGGACCTAGCCAAGATGGACTGGAAAGAAAGACTGGCAGGTAAAACAGCTAAGGAGCAATGGGAAGCCTTCAAGGAGGAGATAGTTCAGGGACAGAACAAATACATTCCCAGAAAGGGGAAAGGTAGGACATCCAAACCTCCCTGGATGAGTAAAGAAATTGATATTAAAATAAAACAGAAAAAGGAGGCTTTTGATAAATGTCAGGTCCAAAATATAGAAGATAATTAAATAGAATATAGAAAGTACAGAGGAGAATTGAAAAAGGAAATAAGCAGGACAAAACGATTTTATGAGAAAAGATTAGCGGGTAACATAAAAGGGAACCCTAAGATATTTTATAAGCATATAAAGAATAAAAGGTTAGTCAAAGGTAGGGTGGGTCTAATTAGGGACCAAAGAGGAAATCTTCTTATGGAGGCAGAGGGCTGACGTACTGAATCAGTACTTTGCCTCTGTCTTCACAAAAGAAAAGGATGCAGTCTATGCCACAGTATCGGAGGAGAGGGTAGAGAAATTGGATAAGATAAAAATAAACCGAGAGGAGGTACTAAAATGATTGATGGTGCTCAAGATAGATAAGTCACCCGGTCCGGACGGGATGATTCCTAGGTTACTGAGGGAAGTAAGTGTGGAAATAATGAAGGCTTTGTCCACAATCTTTCAATCCTCCTTGGACATGGGGTGGTGCCAGATGACTGGAGGATTGCAAATGTTACTCCCCTGTACAAAAAGGGGCAGAAGGATAAACCCGGGAACGACAGGTCAGTCAGCCTAACGTCAGTAGTGGGAAAACTTCTAGAGACTATAATCCTGGCAAAATAAATCTTCACTTAGAAAAATCTGGGTTAATAAAGGGCAGCCAACACAAATTTGTTAAAGGCAAATCATGTCTAACAAACCTGATAGTTTTTGATGAAGTAACAGAGAGGATGGATGAAGGTAGTACAGTTGATGTAGTTTATATGGATTTTCATAAGGTGTTTAATAAAGTGCCACATAAGAGACTTGTAAGCAAAATAGAAGCCCACAGTATTACAGGGACAGTGGCAGCGGATACAGAACTGGCTGGGAGACAGAAAGCAGAGAGTAGTGGTAAATGGTTGTTTTTCTGACTGGAGGGAAGTGTACAGTGCTGTCCCCCAGGGATCAGTATTGGGACCACTGCTGTTTTTGATCTATATAAATGACCTGGACTTGGGGATAGGGAGTACAATTTCCAAGTTTGCAGATGATACTAAGCTTGGAAAAGTAGTAAACAGTGGGGAGGATAGTAGCAGACTGCAAACTGACATAGACAGACTGGTAACGTGGGCAGACACGTGGCATATAAAGTTTAATGTGGAAAAATGCAAAGTGATACTTTTTGGGAGGAAGAATGAGGAGAGGCGATATAAGCTGATGGTACAATCTTAAAGGGGGTGAAGGAACAGACCTGAGGGTTCATATAAGTAAATCTTTGAAGGTGGCGGGACAAGTGGATAAAGCTGTTAAAAAAGCATACGGGATACTAGGCTTTATAAACAGGGGCATAGAATACAAAAGTCAGGAAGTTATGATGAACCTTTATAAAACACTGGTTAGACCTCAGCTAGAGACTATTCAGTTTTGGGCACTGCACTTTAGGAAGGATGTTAAGGCATTGGAGAGGGTGCAAAGTAGATTTAACAGGATGGTTCCAGGAATGAGGGACTTCTGGTATCAGGAGAGGCAAGAGAAGCTAGGATTATTCTCCTTGGAGCAGAGAAGGTTAAGAGAAGGCTTAATAGAAGTTTTAAAAATTATGAGGGAATTCAATAGGGTGAAGAAGGAGAAACTATTTCCACTGGCGGGTGGGTCGGTGATCCGAGGGCACCGATTTAAAATAGTTGTTAAAAGCAAGAAGGGAGATGAGGAGAAATTGTTTTACACAGCGAGTTGTTCGGATCTGGAATGCATTCTCTGAAAGGGTGGTGGAAGCCGATTTGATAAGAACTTTTAATAGAGAAGTAGATAATTATTTAGGAAGGACAAGTTTGCAGGGCTGTGGGGAGACAGCGGGGGAGTGGGATTCAATTGAATAGCTCTTTTGAAAGAGCCGACACATGTTGTTCTGTGCTGTATAATTCTATGATTCAAATCTCCTGGAGTCTTGCTATTACCATCATATCTTGACACAAAAGGGTCGACAGAAACTGAACTGCCTGGGCTGAGACATACAACAGTAGCTAGAAATAGTAGCTCAAGGCCATTTTTTGGATGAAAATTGGGAGTTAAATAGACAATGGCAAGGTAGTTAATACACACACTGTAGCTATGGCATGTGACAGCTGACAACACGAAACACTGTTGAAAAGAAACAGGAGATCATCTGTGTGAACAAACCTATGGGAGAGTGTGTAAACCTTGAAACAGCTGTAGGAAATAGAGAAACAGTTGTCATAATGGCCAACAAAGTGAGGTGCCAGTACCAGTGTGAGGAAGGTCATTGTAACAGGGTCCCATGTGCCATTGTCACTTAGTGGGTTTGACTGACCTTGGTTGTCAAGCTGGTTTGCACATTGTAGACCCCTTATTTGGTGTTGGGACCTGATGGTAACGGTAAGACTCCAGGAGATTTGAGACTGAATTGAATGTCACAATGTTAGGATTCAATGTATAACGTTGACAAGATGGAAGCCATACTCTGGCTCTCGTCAACATCTAAAATCTCAAGGCTCTCACCTCCTCCACCTACCCGACCTCCCCCTAAAACTCTCCAAACCTGTACTCAACCTAGGCATCAGGTTCGACCCCCAATTATCCTTCCTCCGATCCTTTAACCAACACCGCTTTCTTCCACCTCCGACCCATCGCTCGTCTCCGCCAATACCTCTCCTCAAAAGCCGCTGAAACCCGGGTCCATGCCTTTGTCACCTCTCGGCTGGACTACTCTAACGCCCTCCTTACCGGTCTCCCATCCACTACCATCCATAAAATCCAGATCATTCGAAACTCTGCTGCCCGCATTCTCACCCACACGACACTGCGCTCCCCGATTACCCCAATCCTGGCCAGACTGCACTGGCTGTTTATCCCAGAGAGGATCGATTTCAAGATCCTCACCCTTCTATTCAAGTCCCTGCACTCCTCTGCACCCCCTACCTCTCTGACCTCTTCTCTCCTCAAAACAGTACCCGTTGCCTTCGTTCCTCCGGGTCTGGCCTCCTCCTCGTCCGAGTCCTCTGCTCCACCCTCGATGGCCGTGCCTTCAGCCACTATGCCCCGAGGCTCTGGAACTCCCTTTCTCACTCCCTTCACCTCGCTCGCTCCCTTCCTATTTTCGGGTCTCTGCTGAAGACCTTTCTTTTCGACTGCACCTTTGGTCACCTTCCTCCCCCTCCCCTTGGCTCGGTCCCGGGATCCGTTACTGTGAAGCACTCCGAGACGCCGTCCGGCGTGGATGGCGCTATATAAATCCAAGTTGTTGTTATAATATGATAAACTGGTTTGTTTCCTCAATAAAAAGTCTGGCTAGTGTAAGAGATTTGGATGGAGATATCCAATACGGTGATGTAATAATCCAAGGTTTATTAAGTAATACAAATAGCTTAACTTATTCTTAAAACCGAGACCATAGATACAGTAGAATCAATATCAATTCCACTGGGAAGTGCGCTGACTCTCTATGACAGCTCCAACTATTTTAAAGTTACATCTTTCTTTTATGTGCTTTTAACTCCACCTTCCCTTGTCACAGAGATAGCCCCCACCCTTCACAGGCTGCTTTGCAGAGAGATGTAGACAACTTCTGACCTTCGACAGCCTGCCTGTTTCTCATCCTTGAGATAGGCAGGTGTCTGAGGCTGTAGCCTTTTCTTTCTGTGGTCCATTCTCCTCCAGCCCCTGCACCGTCTCGTGCGGTGTTCCTCAGGGCTCTGTCCTCGGTCCCCTCCTCTTCAATACCTATATGTTCCCTCTTGGTGTCATCATCCGCAGACATGGGGTCAATTTCCACACGTATGTGGATGACATCCAACTGTACCTCTCTGCCTCCACCCATGACTCCAGGACCACTGCTGTCCTGACAGAATATCTGTCAGACACCAAGTCCTGGATGAGAGCTAACTTTCTTCAGTTGAACGTCGACAAGACCGAGGCTCTCCTGATCGGCCCCCATCAGCATCTCTGGAAGGTGACAGCATAGCTGGAAAGTGGGAGCCAACAATAACAGACGGCTGAGGTGCAGCCTGGACTGAATGGCCCTCATTTCTGTTCTGTGTTTCCTTTGTGGCAATATCCAGGTATGGACGAAGATCCACAAGAAAGAGCAAAGCGCGGAGATTGGGTTCGACTTCGTCGTAAGGGGTGGAATGTCCTGTAATCCCGAGCCCGGGAACCTGAGCCAGACAACGTGACTGGGGGCCACGATCCTTTGGTGAGACAGCGACGCCCTGCTCCTTTAGTAAGATGGCGGCGGCCCGTTCCTTCAGTAAGATGGCGGCGCGGGGGTGGGTGGGTGAGGGGGGGGGGGATTGGGCTGACGCGCCTCCGGTCACGTGCCCCGCACCCGCTTCCACCAGTAGGAACGATTGTCCGCGGCCCCACAGTGCAGGCGCCGCGAGCCGGGGGCCGAACATGAGGGGAGGCCGCTGTCCATGGCGGATGTGAGAGACGTTGGAGCCGAGTTTGGAGTCAGAGACTGACGGGGAATAAGGGGAGAGGAGGTGAGCGGCAACGAACCCGGGGCTGAGGCGGCGGGTGCCGGGCCCGCGGCACAGGCTGTACCCGGAGCAGTGAGGGCAGGGCCCGGGGCGGCTCGGCTCGGTATCACATACATGTCCAGGGTTACCTGTGAGTCACAGACGGGGTGTCCCCGGGTACAGGGCACTGAGATCCACACGGGATGTCCAGACGTGTGTGTTGGTCAGTCAGGCATCTGACACACGGCCATCACTGTGTGCTGAAGGGTATCCAAGCCTGACCGAGCCCCCCCGCGTGCCACCGACACACCGAAACTTCCCTGTGTCGGGAATCGAATGCGCACACTCTCCCCGGAGGGAGGCGTCCCGCTGACCTAATTCCGGAGAGTGTCAGGCACAGGCACGACCCAAGGCTCGGGGACCCCAGAGCGTGTGTTGGGGGGGGGGTAACTGCTGGAGGCTAACCCGCTAAACCGCAGAGCGTTGTTATCGCTGTCCGGCAAGCTTTCCCACTACTTGTCCAGCTCGTACCACTCTACCGGTCAGGGCTTTGCCATGCAGGGTTACCAGGAGCTGAGAGGGGTGATTCCTTATCCCAGTGACTAGTCTGCCCTTCCAGGTCCTGCCGATGAGCTTGGCTGGCTGGGCTGGGCTGGGCTGGCCATCAACAGTGCCTTGGAGTACTGCGGACCCACATGGCTCATGAACCAGACTAGAGACCGCCAGAGGGGTTGACTTGATTCTGACATTCCATTGCCAAGCACAGCACCTTGGAGCCAATTCAGTACTGCACGTCTGTAGATACAGCAGTCATATCCCCGGGTATAGAGCACATCGTGAGGAGTGCAGGATGCTCACACCCGATGTGCTGGTATCTTAATGTGTTAACTGTGCAATGATGGTGGGTGTGACGATCCAGGGTGGGTGTTACTTGTTATAAGTGAGTGTAACTAAGAGCCATTGTGTGTTCGGTGCGTGTGCGATATGCTGCCACGTGGTACTGGGGCTCCACACGGTGACCGGTTGTTTTGCTTTGCAGAGTCCCCTCTCAGGCACTCCACCATGGCTACCTCGTCAGAAGAGGTGCTGCTGATTGTGAAGAAGGTTCGCTATAAGAAGCAGGATGGGGCTCTGTACCTGATGGCGGAGCGCGTGGCGTGGACCCCAGAGGGGAAGGACCGCTTTGTCATCAGTCACATGTATGCAGACATCCGGTGTAAGTTGCTGTCCAGAGAGCTGTGACTCTTTACACAGCTGTTTTCCCTATTAGTGGGAACCCAATGATCCTTGCATTTGATATAGCACCTTATCACTTCTTCGGGATATCTCAAAGCGCTTCACAGAATATACTGTAAAGTGAATTGACTGTATTTTGTGGGCGACCGTATATTTTTCTCTTTCCAACCTCACCTTGGAAAGAGAAAATATGCTTGTTTCTATAGCAGTTTGTTACACTTTTATAGTGTGCGCCTTTCACTTTGAACGACAGTTTTGAAGCACTAAACATTTCAATACCACTGTCAATTAGATGAATATCTGAAAAGGAGAAACATAAAAGGATGTCAGGAAAAGGTAGGAGATTGCTATTAAACGGAGAGCTCTTTCAGGCAACCAGTACGGACGCGATGGGCTGAAGGGCCTTTTTAATCCTGTGAATTTCTTATATTGTAACAAGACAAGCAGAGAGAGTGTGTGTTGAAACAACATTCCAAGTATGCTCAATGCCCAGGGCAGCAAATCTCAAACAAAAAGTGATGTTTCTGTGAGGGGGAATCTCTCCAGAGAGGGCAGGGGAAACTGCTCCATTCCCAGCAAGTTGAGGCTGTCAAATTGACAACTCTGCAGTTTGAAGATGGCAGCGAAACCGACAGACATGTTGGAACTGTCGACTAACACTCAGATTTCCCCTCCTCGGCTGATCGGGGTTGGAGGTTCTATCTTTCTATGCCAGCAGTGCTTTCAACTCCCTTCCTCTGCAGAGAGACTCCACACAAAGACTATTTTGCATTTAATTTCGACACACTAGATTGTTACCTGAGAGAGAGTTGTTGTCCTGTGACTCAGTGATACGTTTGCTCGCTCATTCTTACATGTTTTATCTCGCTCGCATTCTTGTTTTAGCTCGCTCGCATACTTGGGTAACGTGGCCAACAACACAGTGAGTGCCCTGCCCACTTTTCTCCCTCTGTGCTGCCTCTAGCCCCTGCAGTCTCCATGTCTGCGGGCTGACTATGCCCCGCAAACTGCCTGCCTCAAGTCTTGGCGTGCGCATATTGGCTGCTGCCCCTGATCCGAGCTGTCCTTCTCAAAAAATGCCAGGATCCCTGACACACTCCTGCTCTGCCCTCCTCTCTCCATCCTCTTTGCCTTCTATCCCCACTTGACTGTCTCACAGCTTCCCTCTGCTCCAGCTGGGAATCCTCTGCAGGGTTCACCGTGGCACTTGGCATTGGCTGTCCAGCAGCAGCCACACTGTCTGCCCCATTCCCCACTATCACCGCAAGCCCAGCTGGACCCAGACCCTGGGGGCCAAACTCTCCTCCCTCATCCTCATTCCCATCCTTCCTGCCAATCCCTCCATCACTCCCTCCCGTCTCACACATTCCCCTGACAACTTTCCCCTCTGCACCAGCCTACAAAATGTCCACTCCCTCTGCAACAAGGCTCTGACCGTCAATGGTCTCATCATTGATGAAAATATCGACATCATGGCCCTCACTGAAACTTGGATCACCCCAGGCGACACCTTACCCCTCACTGAGGCCACACCGCACGACTATACCTACTACCAAACTCCACGTCCCACCCGCTGTGGTGGTGGTGTGGCCCTCATTTCCAGGATCTCACTTGCTCTATCCCCTTACTCCTCTGGCTCATTCCCTCATTCAAGCACATTACCTCCAATCTTTCCCTCAAAATTCTCCTAATTTACCACTCCCCCACAAACCCTCCCCCACCTTCATCTCTGACATCTCCACCCTCCTAGCTTCCCTCTGCCTCTGTTGTGAAGAACCAAAGCCATATCCGATCACCATTTCATCTAATTTAGCTCCTCAATCCCTCTCACCACCACCACCAAACCCACCTACATTTCCTACAACCCCTGGAAAAAGAAACCCCCCACAATCCGTCTCCACTGCCTTGGAGTCATCTGAACTCCTCCCCCTCTGGTCTACCTCCCACACTGATTTATCCTCCTCACTCACTCTCCTCCACAACTCCCTCTCTACCACTCTTGATGCCCTTGCCCCCTTCACCTCCTGAACTGCCGCCTACCCACGAACCTCACACTGGTACACCAGCCACCTTCGCTCCCTCAAGGACGCACCTGGCTCAGATCTGATCTTACGGTCCCCTGGCAGATCTGGCTGGACCACATCAAAACATACTGCTCCACCGTCGCTTCCGCCAAATTGGCCTTCTACTCCAAGATAATCTTGGAGGCGACAGACAACCCCAGGCTGCCATTCTCCACCACCAACCGGCTTCTCCATCCACCGTCCCATGCCTCGCCCAATCTCTCCTCAAACTCTGACTCTGAGGAGATGCTGAATTTCCTCGAGTCCAAAATCAAGGAGATCTGTTTAGCTCTCCTAACCGCTGCCCTCTCCCTATCTCTCTTATCTCTCCTTCACACTCCGACCCCTTACCCATCCCTTCTTCTACATCTTCGAATCTGTCTCCCCCTCCTATCTCATCACCACGATATCCAGCATGAAGCACACCACCTGCTCCTTGAGACCCCTATATTTAACTTCCAGCTCCTCACCCTTTACTCTCCAACACCATCAATCTGTCCCTATCATCCCCCCTAAAAACAGCTATAATAACCCCTATCCTGAAAAAGCCTTCCTTGGACCGATTCCTGCTTTCTAACTACCAGCCCATCTCCAACCTCACTTTTCTTTCCAAGGTCCTTGAAAGAGTCGTTGCTTCGCTCCTTCCTCTCCTACCAATCCCTTCACAAGCCCCTCCAATCGGGTTTCTATACTGCTCACAACACAGAAACTGCTCTGGTCAAAGTCACAAACGACATCCTGTCCGTCTTTAACCAGGGCTCCTTCTGCCTCCTCGACCTCTCTGCTACCTTGGATATCATGGACCACTGCGTCCTCCTCCACCTCCACTCCTCTCATCTCAACCTCTTAAGGTTCTGCCCTTGAATGGTTCAGGTCTTATCTCTCAAAACTATCTCCAATTTGTTTTCTCCAATGGTTTCTCATCCAGCCTCTGCACAGTCTTGTGCGGTGTTCCTTGGGGCTCTGCCCTGGTTCCCTCCTCTTCAACAACAACAAATTTCAACAATTACATTTACAGAGCACTTTTCACGTTGGAAGGACATCCCAAAGCGCTGAGACCTCTAAGTGAAGTCTTCAACCTCTAAGTGCTCCGCCTTGGTGACATCATCCGCAGACATGGGGTCAACTTCCACATGTATACGGATGACACCTGTATCTCTGCCTCCACCCTCGATTCCAGGACAACTGATTTCCTGACAGACAATCAGACATCAATTCTTGGATGAGAGTCAACTTTCTACAGCTGAATGTCAGCAAGACCGATGTCTTCCCGATTGGCTTGCGCCAGCGCCACTGCACCTCAGGCACTGGCAGCATTAGCATCCACCTAACTCAGCCAGTCAGGAACTTGGATGTCTTGTTCGACCCTCAACTTTCTCGCTCGAATCAGTGCCATGACCTGCTCTGCCTTCCTCCACCTCAGCAACATTGCCTGACTCTGGCACGGCCTTATCCCTCAGGCCGCCGAAACCCTCATACACGCATTCGTCACCTCAAGGCTCAATTGCGACAACTCCGTCCTTATCGGATCCCCAACTCATCTCTCCACAAGCTGCAGATTATTCCAGAAATCTGCTTTTGTCCTCTCTCATGCCAGGCTCTGTGACCCTATCAGCTCCACCCTCGTCCGGCTCCACTGGCTCCCCTCCCTCAGAGGATAGAATTCAAAATCCGCAACTTCAATTTCAAGGCCCTCCACAGCCTTGCTCACTCCTACCTCTCTGACCTGCTAACCCCCTATCAACCTGTCTGCTCTCTCCGATCAGCAGGCCCCGCCTGTTCCAAATCTTTACCCACTGATTCATTGTGGTCTGGGAGATCAGGATCGGATTGGAATTCGTCCAATCCAATACTCTGCTGACTCTGGCTATCTAGGCTAACAGGTAGAGTATGGCCCCTTGGTCGCAATCCTGGAGACATCATTGTCCTCTCAAGGCCTCCTACGGGCCATGTGGTGAACCCACCCAGCAGGTAGAGTTGCTATTATACCAATAAGAATCTCGGGATGTGTCACTGAGCAGAGTGTTTGTTGCCTGCTCACTGTGTCACTGTGCTTGAGAGGCCTTTGGTCATGCAAGTGGAAGTTCCTCATTAGCCTATGATTGTAACTCCCTGGGCAGTGGGACATGCCCTGCCCGGGATGTAATCAGTCCACTCTCAATGCCCTACGCTGGTTCACTTGCAGGTCAGAAGATCAGCCCTGATGGGAAGGCCAAAGTTCAGCTGCAGCTGGTGTTACACACGGGCGATGCCACAAACTTTCACTTCACCAATGAAAGCAGTGCGGGCGCATCAGCCAGGGACCGAGATGCTGCCAAGGATCTGCTTCAGCAGCTGCTGCCTAAGTTCAAGAAGAAAGCAAACAAGGAACTGGAGGAGAAGAACAGGTAACGGACACCTGGGCAGGTCTGGCTGCTCGGTAGGTGCAGGCATAATGAGAAATAATCCTCATTGTTGGAGGGATGAGCTGTTACCAGATAGCCAAAGCTCTTCAGCCTTGAAAAGAGATATCTTTGGGGTAAATTACTAAATGAGATTGAGTAAGTTAACCCAGGACTATGCTGTCAAATATTGCAAAGGAATTGGATAAGCGGACATGGGTTTAAGATGTGTAGGACACGCTGTGAATGACAGGACTGTAAAGTATTTCTTTACACAGAGGGTAATTAATGTCTAGATCAGGGTTACTAGTGGGAACGTGGGGGTTATGAGGGAAGGTGGAGCCAGGTAGAGCACCCTCCGTGAGGGGGAAGGTGTTGCCGGGGTGAGCCAAGTGTCAGTGAGTGCCAGCAGGTCTGTTTCCGTTCAGGATAAAGTTATGGACAGTGAGGGCTTTGTTTGAAAGTTTTATTTAAATCGAGAGCGAGACTTGCAGGTCAACTACAGCACATGTTATATACAGATAATACTGCCTTCACACTGTCCCATACAGAACTTCCTAATCAGCCGCAGCACAGGTTAGACACAGAGTAAAGCTCCCTGTATACTGTCCGTCCACAGTCCCAAGTCCACACTCAAAGGTTAGAGACAGAGTAAAGCTCCCTCTATGCTCCCTGACATACCTCAGTCCCAATCTCAGAAGAGCTCCCTCTGGTGCAACATGGGGACATTTTACATTTCCAACCAGTGATCCAGAGAGAGAGAGAAGTTCCCTCACTGTAACTGTAGATTAAACATAATTTTAAATAAATGGCTGCACCTGCACTGGCTCAGGGTAGGAGCAAAACCACAGAGTGGCACTGGTTTAGGGTAATGTGGACCTGGAGTTCCTGACTTCCTGGTTGCCCCAGTTCAAACCCCCACCACTCACTCCATTCCCTCTGGGTCCCTGATCCTCAATACATTTATATAATGCCTTCCACGTTAGGAGTACGTCCCCCGAGCTATGTGACCCCCCACCCCCTGAGATGGAGGACCCCGGTCCTGACGATGCTGTTTTTCCTAGAATGCTGCAGGAGGACCCGCTGCTCTTTCAGCTCTACAAGGATTTGGTTGTGAGTCAAGTGATCAGCGCTGAAGAATTCTGGGCCAATCGGCTGAGTGGCAGCTCGGTGGATAACGCTGTATCTGCTAACAAGCAGGATATTGGCATCTCCGCGGCGTTCCTGGTAGGTCTGGGTCCCTGGGGGTGTGATTGTAATGTTGGCAATTGTGTCCTTCTCTCTGTAACTATCATCAATGGTGTCGTCTGTCTCCATTTAATACTGGCAACCTCAGGTCCTAACCATTCCACTGACCGCTTACATCTCAGTCACGGTCTGTCTGTAATAGACACTCCCTTCGTTATTTGAGTGCCCATCTCCAAGACTCTTGAGTTTAGAGGATAGGGTTGATCTGGTTCAGGACCTCCTCACTTGTTCCTCTGGTTCTCATTTGGGTTTTAGGGTGAATTTGTGTGAGGAGCAAAATGTAAGATGGTGTAACTTGATAACTTTCACCTTTTGACAATCTAAATGACAATAAACGCTAAGAAATTGTGATTAAAAGATCATCGTGTTGTCCAAAATATCGCTGGATGGGCCCTATAAGCTCCTATTCTTCCTATGTTCTTAATAGTTTGTGAAAGTTTGATTTACTGACCATTTATATCTGTCCCGTTGAAAAGAAAGAATAATAGTCCTTAAGTTTCTTCCATTTGTAGTGGAAACCAATCAAATATTTATAGTGTGTTGCTGAGTGGAAAACAATTAACTTCCTTGTTCAGAGAAACATCTTATTCTTGCACACAATTCTGTCTGTGTGTATGTGTTTGTATACCTGTATACGTGCGCATGGCTGGCGTATGTACACATATGGTATGTAGCTTTGTATAATCCTTGTGGGGGTGGGGGAGCGGGTTGTGTCCTGTGGTGTATGTATGTGTGTGTGTTCACATGTTAGTGTCCACAGTGAAAAAACTGAGTAATTTAATTTACACTTGGCAGAAGCAAAATACATTTATATTTTACTGCTCGTTAGCTAACACAGCAGAGATTGGAATGTGCGGGCTGTGCTCAGCTTCGCTGTGTGGGCTCAATGCTGTACCAGGTGCATCCTTTCAGTGGAGAACATTGTTGTTCAATGCTAACACTACATTGTGCCGTCAGGTTGTGATTAAAGTATGTTGTGTTTGCTCACAGGCTGACGTGCGACCGCAGACTGATGGCTGTAATGGCCTCCGGTACAATCTGACCTCAGACATCATTCAGTCCATCTTCAGGACGTATCCCGCAGGTGAGGCCATCGCTGGGTCAGCTGATAGACAGGGTTGAGTTGAACAGCGGGCTGGGTTGCAGACTGCGGAGTTGTTAGTGAGCTGTCTGAAGTGTACAGTGTTTAAATACCGTGTCTCTGGCAGTGAAACAGAAGTATGCAGAGAACGTCCCGCACAACATGACGGAAAAAGAATTCTGGACACGCTTCTTCCAGTCGCATTATTTCCACAGGGACAGGATCAACTCTGGATCCAAAGATCTCTTCTCGGAGTGCGCCAAGATCGACGAGAAAGGTGAGTTGTCCTCTGTACTGGGCTGTGAGCGAGACATGGGAGAATGAGTGTGAGGGGCACAGGGAACGCGAGGGGCACGGGGAGGAAGGAAAGACATCAGGACTTTGAATTCACAGTCTACACTGACACTCCAATGCAGTACGAGGGAGAGTGCTGCATTGACAGAGGTGACATCCTTTGGATAAGACGTTAAACTAAGGTCCTGAATATTATGGTTTGAAGTACTAATTTGTTTCAGCCTGTTGACAATCTATCTTCCAACAGAAGGTTTTAGATAATTATCCTTGAATTTGATACTCTTCCACTGCACTTGGCTCAGAGTTTCTCCCAGTGTCCTGCTGACAATCCCCCAGATAAAATTGTCATGTCTGTTTTCTGTGATTATAAATGCATAGATACTACACGTGCCAACAACAACAACTTGCATTTGTATAGCATCTTTCACACAAGGTAGTATCCCAGAGCGCTTAAGATACCCGTGAAGCGCTTTGGGACATTTTGACGTCAATAGTATCAAATGGCAGGATGATTATTTTGCGTTGCTGGCTGTGGGTGCAGTGTGAGGGCGAGGTTGTGACTAATCTGCTGTGTACCTGGGCAGGGTTGAAAGTTCTAGTCAGTCAGGGAGTGAGGAACCCGCTCGTGGATCTGACATCACTCGAGGACAAGTCACTGGATGAGGTGAGTCACTCCACAGCAGGCGGACAGTGACGGGCTGTGTGTGTGTGCAACTTGGGAGTGATGAGCTGTGTGTGTGCACTGTCGGGAGTTTCAGCTGTGTGTGTGTATGTGGCAATGTGTTAGTTGGGGAGTGAGTGTGAGCATTAAATACATGCGTTTTATCGGGGATGGGGAGGGTGCAGGCTTGCATTTTGAGGGGTTTGTATTGAGATAGGGAGGGGTGATATAGAACCCTCTTTTGTTTCTGTGGATATGCGTTAATGTACATGTTTGTGGCCAGGGTTGGGAGCGGATAAGTTAAGTGCTGTGTAGTTGCTGGATGAAAATAGTACTGATCACTGCCTGTGTTTGCCGACAGGGATATGGGACCTCGTGCGGCACGTCCTCCTCCAAATCTGTCAAAGAGAACAGCAACGCCGCCATCATCCGCCGTTTCAACCATCACAGCGCCATGGTGCTGGCTGCCGGCCTCCGCAAACAGTACGTGTTGCAGCCCAACCCTCCCTCCCACACACACACCGGCTTCTCACACACAAGCACCAACACCCACTTCCCCTCCTTAACCCCGCCCCCCCCACACGCGCACACACACATGCACTGCCATTCCTACCCATCTCCCACCCCAATTCTGTACCACCAATGAGCTCACAGTGAAGGCCAGTGCAGTGTTGGGGGGGAGCGCTGCAATGCTGGAGGTGCTCATCAGACGTTAACATGAGGTACCTGTTCAGTTGGACGTTAAAGATCACACAGCACTTTTCGAAAAGAGAAGGGAGTTTCTCCCCGTGCCTTGGCTGACAATCCCCGAGATTAACCACTCATTCACCATGTGGCTAGTTGTGGGACCTTACTGTACATAAACTGGTTGCATAGAAACACACGCTTTCTGCAGAGTAATTACCGTACTGTGAAGCGCTTTGAGCGTGTATAAAATGCCTTTGAAGCAGTGTTTAACCTCTGTCTCTCTTTTCCTTTCAGAGAAACACAAAATGATCATAACAGTGAGACCAGCAGCACAGACGGGAATTCACATGATTCTGACTGTTTCCAGCTGCCGGTCAAAAAGGTGAGGACGATGTGGTGCTGAGCTTTGGACTGGTGACCTACACAGCATGCAGGCCAGACACCTGGGTGTCCCTCCCCCACCCACACGCACTTACACCATTGTAATCCACACCCCTCACATCATTGTAACCTATGCCTTAGACCAGAAAGGCTGAGCTGCATTATCCAGAGAGAGACCTCCAGGCACTTCAAAATACATGGAAAAGGGAGCTGTGACTGATGCAGGGGCTGTGTTACTTTGAGGCGCATCGGGGAGGGGCGTGACCGGTCGGGGAGTGAGTGAGGTTGGGTGGGCAGGGGGTGTGGAAAGAGACTTCAATTGCTGTTGAACTCTTGTTGTGCAAGGTGTCCTTCCGATGTGAAAGGAGTTACATGAATGTGATTTGTTGTTGTGCAGGTAAAGTTACAGGAAGCCATAGAGTATGAAGACCTAGAGGAGAAGAACACGAGGAGGACGTATGCACTAAATCTGAAGAAAGCTGACAGGTGAGATCCTGGGGAGAGACTGTGTCCCAAAGTGCTGCACACATACACTGCTGTCCACCCCTATAGTGTCTCACCTTATACAGGCTGAATCAAAAGTCCTTACTCTTAGGTTTATATGAAATGTTCATCAAACTGCATTGCTATGTAGACGTTTACATACATCAACTCGGTGCCAAAACTTCACGAACGCAATGTGATAGCTGCACAATCTCTTATCAATGTTGTCCTAAAGAGAAAGAAAATAATTATTAAAAATTCTATGGGTCAGTACCGCTGATTCACCCTGTATAATGTGCCTCTTGTGGTGTCTGGAGGCTAAACCTAAGTTTGGTTCCTGCCTGAGACAGGGTGCCTCCCCTCCCCCACCGCACCATTGGGCTCCACAGATATCTGAACCTGAGGTTTGGAATTCCACTCAGTCTTGACGATTGAGACATTAGCACCATTGTGATAGGATTTGCTAAGTATCTTAAGTTGCCTTCTAGTCACTGACCCACAGACCAGAGGACATAGTTTCTCCCTATTGACTGTTTAAGACTGTGGAAACTTACATTTTAAATCCTAAATTGTTAATTTTGAAGCGTGTTGTAGGCAGTTCTTTATAAAAAAAAAACAGATTCTCAGCTTTGGAAGCTGGCTCTTTTTAATTGTCAAATCAAAGAATTTTCCACAATTCTGTGCAGCCTTATATTATAATATAAAACTGCCTCGCTGACTAAGACTAGGAGGAATTTGTGGCCTCCAATAAAATTGGTCACTCACTCCATGGTTATTTGTGGGACATTGCTGTGAACAAACTGGCTGGTGCGTTCTGCTACAAAGTACAGAGTCACTAAACTTTACAGTAAATCCTGAGACAGTTTGAGCTGTTGCATTGATGTTGATAAAGCATCCTGCTTACCTAATTGCAGAGAGTCTTAAGCACAGGCTGGCAATAGCTAACAAGAGTTGGGAAGCAGTGCAGTATTGTAACTGTTTGAATCCTAAATGATTTTCACCGTCTCTTTGTAGATACTTTCACGGTCCAACTCCTGTTCAGTCCCAGCAATACGCCTCCAGCCAGGAGATCATTAACTCAGTGCACTGTATCCGGCAGGAGATGGCTGCTTATTCTCCCAAACTTACTCAGGTAGGAGGAGCACTGATAATTAACGTCGAGTGTCTGGAGGGATTAATGGGGGAGGAACAGAAGTGTGCCGAGTGGGGGAGGGCAAGAGATGTTGGGGTGATGGGGGAAGGATGTTGCCTATTAACGTGATGTAGGAAGGGCAAGGTGAAAGCTGCAGCCACTTACTGATGTCTTCTCCATTGCCTGTTCTCTTGGTTAGGTTTTGTCCAGTAGTGCAGCCAGCACTGCCATCACGGACCTTTCACCTGGTGGCGTGCTCATGCAGGGAGGGACATCGCAATCGATCAACCGTGAGTAGCCATTCCAACACCCTCTCCCGTCTGTGCTGATCTCAGCCCCGCTCTGTGCTGAGTGGCTGATCTGTGGTGGTGTCTACTCCAGTTCCTGAGCTCAGGCTGAGGCTCGGATTCTTCCTACTATTAGCCCTGCAAGCCAAAGCCCTAAAGAGTAGGATATTCCTAGCTGGACAAGTGGTGGGAAGCTAAACTCCAGCAGTTATCCCACTACGTTCTGGCTCTTGCCAATCTGCACTTAATACTCTGCAGGATGATGTGCGAAGCGTACACCTCTCCTTGGAGGGAAGAGACTCCATTCCAGATAAATTTCCATTCATATGTGGAACCCTCAGTAGTTTGGTTTGGAGTGTCTTAACGAGCATATAGGAAGATAAACGAGCATCAATAGGGAGGAATGTACAGCCTCCAGGAATTTTTGGGGAAAGCACTTTGCAACTGCTGCTTGTAGCAGGAGAGATTTAATCTCTGACCTCTTGTGTACCAGGTGCTTTTCTGGCAAAGTATGTAGTCCTAGTAATATTCTGTGGAGGAACGTGATTGATGTACCGAACGCCCCTCTCTTGAATGGGTGTGAGGCTGCAGAGGGCCTGGCTGCCTCTCACACTATTTCTTGTCTTTCAGAGATGGTGCCGGCGGATGTGCAGGTGGAGCTGAAGCACTTGTACGTGGCTGTAGCTGAGCTGCTGAGACACTTCTGGTCCTGTTTTCCTGTCAATACACCGTTCCTGGAGGATAAGGTGAGAGGCTGTTTGCCAGAGCCTCCTCATCATAGACAGAGCTCAAACTTCCCATTTCTGCGCATGTGATCCTTCTTTGGAGTTTTATAAGATTATGCACTTTGATCGTTTACCGTCAGCTTGGCTTAGTCGATAACGCCCTTGCTTCTGGTTTAGATGAGTTGTAGGTTAAGCCCGGAAACTGCCGTCGCATCCAAATATACAGTCACTACACTTTATAGAAAATAATCTGCAAAGCACTTTGAGCTGTTCTGACATTTCCTGACAGGGTGAAATGTTGGGCAGGTTTCCTTACTCCACACTCCTGTTTACCTAGCAGTAAGTAGGAACCCAATTGTTGTCGATTGGTGGATCACTTTTTGATTTTCCGGGGGGTAACAATTTCTTTAAAGAAAAATAAATAATAATTGGTCACTTCGATCCACAACTGTTTGTGGGACACTGCTGTGCGCAATTAGCTGCTGCGTTTCGCCCACAAAATATAGTCAATTCACTTTACAGTATATTCTGTGAGGTGCTTTGAGACATCTCAAAGACGTGATAAGGCACTATGTCAAATGCAAGGATTATTATTCTAGTCACTATCAACAACAACAAATTATATTTGTATAGAGCCTTTTATGATAGGAGCAGGTCCCAAGGTGCTGGACAATCAGGGGATCCACACCCGAGCTGGTGGTTCGGATCAGGAGAGGTGGAGGACAGGGAGGGTAGAGATAGGAAGGTGACCGAAGGCAAAGTCGAAGAGGAGGGTCTTGAGGTGGATCTTGAAGGAGGCAAGGGGGCAGAGCTTGTGGACTCTCTAACCTCTGGGGTGGTGGGGGGGAATCTGAGCACTGTGGTGGGAGGGGGGTCTCTGACCGCTGGGGTGGGATCGCTCTGGCTTCTTGCCTCTGACTGACGTTTTGGTCTCTTGTCAACAGGTGGGGAAGATGATGAACAACCTGGAGAGGTTTCAGATAACAAAGCTGCGACCATTTCGAGAGAAGCTGCAAAAGCAATACATCAACACCAACGTGAGTCTATCAGTGCTGCTATGCCTGCAGTGAGTGTGGGAAGTGTGAGAGGACATGGAGTTACAGTATCACAATATTTGTCCTCCACAGTTCTTCATCAGTCTGGGAGACTATGTTGTCTTATAATCTAAAATGAAGTAGAAGGCTGTGGATTCAACCCTCAAGTTAGGTCTTGTGTCAAATTGGCTGCTGTGTTTGACACAGTCACTAGACTTAATTTCATGTATTTTGAGACAATTTGACATTATACCATATCAGACACAAGAATTTATTTTTGATAATTTTCTTTGTTGTTCTCAGCTGGCTGGTCACTTGGAGGATATGGTGAACGTGGCCTACAATAAGTTCCATGCCTGGCAGTCAAAGCGAATGCTGAAGAAGACGTGATGCTACTTTGCTTTGGAGACGTTTTGCGAGCGCGCGAGAGAGAGAGAGAGAGAGCAAGCAAGCGAGAGGGAGGGCGTCACCCGCAAAGCCCCAGCAAAACCCACCGTAAGCTCACCCACCGGCTCTGGCGGATCGCGAGCTGGGGTTGCTGTGGCATTGGAAAGGCTGGATGTAATTTATGGAGCTGCACATTGGGAGACACAAATGCAATAAAGATGGACCACTCCGGGTGACTGCGGTGACCTGACCAAACCAAACCAGGAGAGCCATGGGGGCAGGTCACCGGCTACCCAGCCACGAAAGGGGCAGCTGCTCTCTGCACCGAGGCTCTGTCAGTGATAACGGAGCACCTTCAGCAATGGTCTTTCTAGCATCCACTTTTTTTTTTCCTCCCTCCTGTTTTGTGTACACTTTTAAACGGGGAGGAGGGGGGGGTGGGGGGGGGAGACGATGGCACAATGTAAATTGTAAACCCTTTTTTTTTCACAAGTGTCGCCTTCTGACTTTGAAGTCTGTTTGTAACAGAGGGAGAAAAGAGACTCGATGTGGATATTTTAATTTTAAATAAAGAATAAATGTCAAAATAGTTGCATAGGATTGTCAGAGGGAGGGAGGGGGGGAGGGAAAGAGGGCGGGGCCTGTCCTACTGACGCTGCGGCGGGCGGGGCTGGCGCGAGGGGCGGGGCTGGCGCGGCGGTTGGTGCGGGTGTGACCCCCCCCCCCCACGTCCCCCCCCCTCCCCCTCGCGTTGCCGTACACCGTTCCCCACATTGCCGTACGCCGCCCCCTCCCCACATCGCGGTAGACCGTTCTCTCTCTTCCCCCCCCCCTCCCCCCCCACACCAACCCACCGCGCATTGCCGTACACCGCCCCCCTCCTCTCGCGTTGCCGTACACCGCGCGCCCCCCCCCCACCCACTCCCCGCATTGCCGTACAACTGTCTTCTCAGGCCGACCCGCGGCTGCTGCTGCTGCTGTGTGTGTGTGTGTGTGAGGGGGTGAGGGGGTGGGTTGCGGTGAGGAGGGGGTCAGTCGGTGCCTCCCCACCAGTGCGTTCCCGATAACACGGTGCGCGGCCGCTCCGCTGCCGGTCAGTCGTGTGGAAAGGGTCGGGGGAGGAGCTCTGCCGGTCCCGAATGGGGAAGGAAATGAGTGTCACAAACCGCGCCCCTGTGGGGCTTTAATGAGAGACCTCACATCCAGCGACCGACTGGGGGGCGAACTGCAGTCACAAGACCCGCTGCCGCGTGAGGGCTTGTGAGGAGCGAGAGTCGGCGCTGGTTGGTCCTGGCGGCTGCTGCCGGGGGTGTGGGGGTGTGGGGGGGGGGCACTCGGTGTGGCTGGAGTCGAGGTTCACACCGGCCCTGAGAGGCGGACACGGTGTTGGGACACTTGATGTTCGGGCTGAGATGATCTGGTGTTGAATGGTGGACAACCCCCAACCCCCCTCCACCCCACACCGTCACCTATCCCACAGCATGTGTGTGAGGCTGTGACTGGCTCCCACCCAATCCCATCCAATCCCACCCCATCCCAATCCCATCCCAATCCCACCCCAATCCCACCCCATCCCAATCCAATCCCATCCCACCCCATCCCAATCCCACCCCATCCCAATCCAATCCCACCCCATCCCAATCCTATCCCAATCCCACCCCATCCCAATCCCATCCCAATCCCACCCCATTCCCGCTCACTCCCACCATGTCAGTGCCTGTGCTCCCAGAGTCCTGCAGCCATGTCCTGACCGAGCTGGACTGGTTGGATCCTCTGCTGTCTGCTATCCGGTTGGACTCCAACCGTCTCAAGGTGAGCGATAGTTGATGTGTGTCCTGTTCTCAGCAGCTGAGGTGTGTGTGTGTGTGTGTGTCACTACATTGAAGTCTTTCAGTTTGTGTTTGTGTTATGACTTGACTTGCCAACCGTCTAGTTTTGGAAAGTCCCATTTTAAGGGAATGTACAATGTCTGGTCAGGAGCGTCGAACCGACATGAAAAGTCCCGGTTATTGTGCTCAGGGTATATTTTTTTTTAAAAAAACGACCTTACCTGTGCGCGCGCGTGCGCGCGACGACGACAACAACTTGCATTTATGTCGCGCCCCTCGTCTCAGAGGAGCGGCCCGGAGCGACAGCCTCGTGGGAACAATTCAAACCGTTCTCGCGAGCCTGGAACCCGTGCGCACAGAGACCTTCCCGCGTTCACGGGTAAGGTGTCCTGGAACAAGTCGTCGCGTCCCGGCTCCGCTCCTTTCTCTCTCGCCATTCCCTCTTTGAACCCCATCCAATCCGGCTTCCACGCTGCCCACAGCACGGAAACAGCCCTGGTCAAAGTCATCAATGACATTCTGAACATCTGTGATAAGGGCTCCCTCTGCCCCCTTGTCCTCCTCGACCTCTCTGCCGCCTTCGACACTGTCGACCACTCCATCCTCATACACTGCCTTTCCGCTTTACTCAATCTTCATGGATCTGCCCTTACCTGGTTCAATTCCTATCTCTCTCCACTTCGTTGCCTCTAACGGTTTCTCCTCCAGCCCCCGCACTGTCACATCTGGCGTCCCCTTTGGACTCTGTCCTTGGCCCTCTTCTCTTTAATATCTACGTGCTCCCCCTTGGTGACATCATCCGCAGACATGGGGTCAACTTCCACATGTATGCGGATGACACCCAACTCTTTTTCTGCCTCCACCCTCAACTCCAGGATCACTGCTGTCCTGACAGACTGCCTATCGGACATCAAGTCCTGGATGAGGGCAAATTTCTTACAGTTGAATGTGAACAAGACTGAGGCCCTCCTGATTGGCTCACGCCAGCGCCTCAGCACCTCAGGCTCTGGTAACTTTAACCTTCATGTTTGCACACTTCAACTCACCAAACCAGTCAGGAACCTCGGTGTCTTGTTCGATCCTCAACTGTCTTTTCTCCCCCACATTCAAGCCTTGACCCATTCTGCATCGCCCGACTCTGCCACTACCTCACCCCTCAGGCCACTGAAATTCTTGTTCATGTTTTCATCACCTCCAGGCTCGACTATGCAAACTGCCTGCTTGTCGTCCTTCCCAATTCCTCCCTCCACAGCTGCAGATAATTCAGAACTCTGCAGCCCGTGTCCTCTCCCGCACCAAACTCCGTGACCCCATCCCCCCCACTCTCGCCCGACTCCATTGGTTCCCTATCCTTCAGAGGATCCAGTTCAAGATCCTGGTCCTCACATACAAAGCCCTCCATGGCCTCACCCCACCCTACCTCTGCGACCTCCTAACCCCCTACCAACCCGCCCGCTCCCTCCACTCAGCCGGCTCCGGCCTGCTCCACGTCCCCCGACACACCCGCCCCACCATTGGCGGGAAAGCCTTCAGCCATTCTGCCCCCAACCTCTGGAATTCCATCCCCCAGTCACTCTGCCTCACCCACTTCTTAGCCTCCTTCAAGTCCCGCCTCAAGACCCTCCTCTTCGACCACACCAACGGCCACCCCCCTTCCCCTCCCCTCCCTTCTCCCCCCAACCCAGCATGGGACTGAAATGCTGTACGCTGTCCAGCGCCTTGGGGTGTTCTCCCGACGTGAAAGGTGCTATACAAATGTAATGTTGTTGTTGTTGTCCTGCTTTAGCTAGTTGGAAATGAGTCAGGCCCTGCTGCTTGCTGGCATAGCGGAAGAGTGGCGGGGAGGCACCGCAGGGAGGAGTGGGCTGGGATCGGGGAGGGATACAACCTGGGGCAGGAGGTGAGGCTGCCGCAGTGGCCTGTGGGCAGAGGGGATGAAACCGACTGGTGGAATTACAACTCCCAGTGTGTCCTGTGCTCTGGGCATGTGCAGAAAGACAATAAGTCAAACCTGTTTTGAGAAACTAAGGGTACTGGACCGAAGTGGCCTTTATATAAGGGTGGCCTCTCAGCAAGAGCTTGGTGGTGTGTGTAGAATTTCTAAGTGTATAGAAAGCACATTGGCCACTGAAAGGGTTGTTGTACACCGAAAGGACAAATAAACAGTGGCTGCTGGTTGTGTTAGACAGGTGGTTGCTGAATAGAGATGTTAATTTAACAGATTTGACTAGTATGGAAAGTTGGCAACCCTTGTTCCAATGCTGTTTTGGGGTTTTAACATGAAGTGATAGATCTCCTACTAGTGATACAAAACAGGACTACAGGATTCCAGTCTATTCCACGGCTCCTATTTTGCTGAAATTTAGGTTTACTGCAGATTCTAAAAATGTGAGCTGTAAAATATTTCACTCACAGGATGAGGGCTCAGAAATTGGAACTGGCTGAGCTGCCTGAGTGGTGTCTGTTGCTGCCATTGAACCCTATTCCCAAACCTATGCTCCCAGTGTCTGGCCACTAGGATCTGGCTTAGCTGGACTCCCTACACTTTTTCATTCAGGCCTCCTACAGGTAGTGTGGGTGTGTATACCATGCAGTATTACAGGTAAGCTGTGTGTTTGTGTAAACCGTGTATCAAGAGTAAGGTGGGAGGGAGTGTGAAAATTGGGGGGCTGGGGGGATGGTAAACAGACAGTGGGATTGGCATTGATGCTGTGTGGGCCAAGCAGTGATATGATTTCTCTGTCTTCTCAGTGCACATGTGTATCCATGTCCCGGAAGTGGCTGGCCCTTGGCAGCTCAGCTGGAGGCCTGCATCTCATTCAGAAAGAAGGTTGGAAGCAGCGGCTCATGTTAACTCACAAGGTGAGGGTGAGGTGGGTGGGGGGAGCACAGCCCACCGGGACCTGTCCCTGTGTCTCACACCGTGCCCTGACACAGTCTTGCTGTTTGAGTTTGCCTCAGTGGGAGGGAGGGAGGGTTGAGTGAGCGGACAGGGTTGTAGGTGGAGCTGGGTGTCACTGGCTGAGTCTGATCTTTGCCATTCAGTGACACCGCACTTTGAAGTACCACTACACAGTGCTGCCCAATGAAAACTCAGGCGGGGGATAAAAGCGGGAACCTAGCCTTGCACCAACATATGTGTTGGGTAATGTAATCTCTAGAGCACTCTCTATAAAGAGGTACAGGGCAGATGGGCACACGAGAGAATGGTGAGGAACTGGGAAGTTGTCTTGTCAGTGTGACTTAAGAGTTGAGCTTTCTTCCCTCGGTCAGAAGCCTCACATTACACCGTTGACCATACAGTATAGACTGACTCTCCAGTGCAGTGCTGTGGAACTCCTTATCAGTCCTAATATTCCTTACATTTGGGATAGCACCTTTCATGTCAGGCAAAGGTGATGATTATCTAATACTGTCTGTCCTTCAGGAAGGTGCTCTCGCTCTTGTTGCTTTCTGTCAGCACGATGAGGACTACGTTGCTGTGGCAACCAGGTAAGAGACCTCCACTTCTTGCTGCTCTCTGTAACTCCTTCCAGGTCCTTACAGCTGAAATGTGATACGCTTTATATAGAGAGAGAAATGGGTTCCATCAGCTTGAATGTGATTAAGGTATTTGGGTGCTATGGAGAGGATGTCTATAGGACAGTGAGTCCAGGGATTAGCATATAGAGCAATGCACATGTATGGATAATGTACCCTGCACATAGAGGAAGCATGTCGGGTGGCACATGAGCTGCACAGAGAGTTTGGGTGGCAGGGGAGGGGGTTCCGGCATGCTAGCCCAGTCCTGCCTGATCAGGGTATCCTGTGTGCAGTCAGGGCCATGTGATTGTGTGGGAGCTGCATCTGGAGCGGCGTGGGAAGCCAGAGCGAGTTTATGTCTCGACAGAGCACAGAGGCCGACAGGTGACTGCGCTCCGCTGGGACACGGCTACTCTCCGCGTCTTTGTGGGGGACAGTCTGGGAAAAGTCTCCGCCTTGAAGATCAACTCTTCCAAACAAGGAAAGGTCTGTTATTTGTTTCCTTCACTATCTCGTTGTACAACAAATTACATTTGTAAAGCGCTGTTCACGTTGGGAGCGTGTACCATGGCGCTGAGGTCTTGTTTGTCTGTTCGGGTGGACTTTATTAATTGGGGTATCCTGGCCAACATTCTCCCGATTAATTATTTACCTCATTGCCGAATGCAAATGGCTACTGCTCACACACGTTGAGGTCCTGCAAACAGCAATAAGGCAATGGCTTTATTCCCATTCGGTAGAAAACAACATTTTGCAGTTGTGTTGTTTATCACGGCAGCGGGATATCTCAAGGCGTTGCATCCTGGGAGTCCAATCTGGGGGGATGCAGACAGTTGAGGAGGGGGGAGGGTTAAACATGCCTAAAGCTAGGTCAAAGGAATGAGTCCTAAGGTTAATAGGTTTAGAGAGCTAGTACTGTTCATATAGTAGATTAGAATAGACAGTGGGTGAGGGTGGCTGGGTGGGTACAGTTGGCAGAGCAGGGTTAGTGACCGCTCTCTCTGTCTCAGGCTGCTGCCTTCGTGATGTTCCCGGTGCAGATGATCACCACAGTGGACTCCCGGGTGGTGCAGCTGGATTACCTGGAGGGGAAACTCTTAGTCTCGTCACTGACTCGCTGCTATCTGTGCGACACAGAAAGGTACACAGAAAGGTTAAAACCACCTCAATCCAGCCTTTGCCATAAAATCTAAGGTGCCTCAGAACTGTGGGAAATCCTTCACTTCACAGAATTGTGAAAACTGGTTTCCGGATAAAGACTGAATCAAAGTCTGCCAACGTTCTGTGCAGCTTTTATCCAAATCCCAAATGTATTGAGCTGATTGATGGCTGACCGAAGCCGGCCATGGCTGAGCTCTTCAGCAACTATTCAACCTAGTGATTCTCTCCCTGGGCTGTTTAATGTTTGGCTCTTGCTTCCGAGTCAGAAGGTTGTGGGTTCAAGCCCCACATTGGGTCTTTGAGTTTAGAGTCTAGGCTGATGCTTCAGAACAGTGGTGGGTTGTACTGCATTGTTAGAGGTGCTGTGCTTTGGATGAGACATCAAGGTCCTGTCTGCTTGTTCAGGTGGATGGTAAAGATCTTGAAGTGTTGTTTGAGAAGATGAGGATTTCTCCTCGTGTTCTTACCAACAGCCAGATTATTTGGTCGTTCACTTAATGGCGGTTTGGGGGATTTTGTTGGGGGCAAATTGATGCTGGCTTTAAAACCAGTCACTACACTTGATGGGAATTACTGTGCGGCACTTCAAAATGACAGAGTGGCAAACCGAGGTGAATCATATTTTCTTTATGTACAAGAGAGAAGTTCTGGAAAATTGGGAACAAGGAAAGAGATGGAGAGTTTGGAGCTTGTTTCTTACCAGGAATGAAGGGGGCAGGGGCCCTGCAGTCACTCATCTTCTGTGCCCGCCCAGGATCCCGCTTGTGGGAGGTGAACTGTGAGGGGGAGGTGCTCAGCACACACCAGTTCAAACAGTTACTGGCATCTCCTCCCGTCCCCATCGTCACTCACAGGTATTTCTCTCTCTGCTCTACACATGTAAGTTGTTGCTCTCTTATAGAATCGTAGAAATTTAAAGCACAGAAGGAGGCCACTTAGCCCATCGTGCCTGTGCCAGCTCTTTGAAAGAGCTACCAACTAATCCCACTCTTACCCCCCCACCAAAACCCTGCAAATTCTTCCTTTTTAAGTACCTATCTAATTCCTTTTCAAAGCTATTATAGAATCTGCTTCCACCACCCTTTCAGCAGAGCATTCCAGACCGTAACAACTCTCTGGGTAAAAAAAAGTCTCTTCTTCTCCCCTCTGGTTCTTTTGCCAGTTATCTTAAATCTGTGTCCTCTGGTTACCGACTTACCTACAAGAATGGGTTTTAGTTTCCAATCCATATGGATCAGACTGTAGAGGCCAGACCTCTTGGCTGTGCTGAGGGAGGGAGGGTATCAGGGTATTCTGAGATGTGTCCTTCTGGTACTCGCTTCTGGGAAAGGCTGTTTCATTCCAAACAGCCTGGTGAGTGAGTGGGTGGTGGGGGGAGTTTGTTGGTTGGCTGTGTGTGTGTTTTGGGTGCTTGCCAAGGTCACCTCCACCTCGCTGCTCATTCAGTGATGCAAACCTCAATTTTTCCAGGTCTGAGCCCCATTACAAAGTCTCTGTCTGCTGCCCACAGTCGGTCGCCTTCCCCCGGCTCCTGTGTTTGAGGTGAGACCTAGAAAAATAACAACAAGATTACACTTGTATAGCGCCTTTCATGTCGGGAGGACGTCCCAAGGTGCTGGACAGCGTACAGCATTTCAGACCCGAGCTGGGGTCAGAGGGGGAGAGGGGAGGGGAAGGGGGGTGGCCGATGGCATGGTCGAAAAGGAGGGTTTTGAGGCGGGACTTGAAGGAGGCTAAGGAGGGGGCAAGGTGGAGTGATTGGGGGATGAAATTCCAGAGGTTGGGGCCAGAGTGGCTGAAGGCTCTCCCGCCAATGGTGGGGTAGGTGGGTCGGGGGACGTGGAGCAGGCCGGAACCGGCTGAGTGGAGGAACGGGTGGGTTGGTAGGGGGTTAGGGGGTCGCAGAGGTAGGGTGGGGCGAGGCCTTGGAGGGCCTTGTATGTGAGGACCAGGATCTTGAACTGGATCCTCTGAAGGATAGGGAGCCAATGGAGTCGGGTGAGAATCTGGGAGATGGAGTCACGGAGTTTGGTGCGGGAGAGGACACGGGCTGCAGAATTCTGAATTATCTGCAGCCTGTGGAGGGAGGAGTTGGGAAGGCTGACAAGCAGGGGGTTTGCATAGTCAAGCCTGGAGGTGATGAAGACATGAACAAGAGTTTCAGCGCCTGAGGGGTGAGGTAGTGGCAGAGTCGGGCGATGTTACGGAGGTGAGGGAAGGCAGAGCGGGTCATGGCTTGAATGTGGGGAAGGAAAGACAGTTGAGGGTCAAACAAGACACCGAGGTTCCTGACTGGCTGGCAAGTTGAAGTGTGCAATCATGGAGGTTGATGCTGCCAGAGCCTGCCACAGAGCGTCACACACAGCTGATCTTACCAGACTTGGGCAGACGTGTGTCCTGATTGCTTTTGTCATTCCCCTGTCACAGTGAGCACTACGTTGTGAGCTGGACAAACCGAGCCGTCTACGTCTTTGTTCCCCAGAATGTTCAGGTGCTGCTCTGGAGTGAGCTGAGAGGTGAGGATCTATGCTGGGGGAGGGAGGGAGGGTGTCAGGGTCATCTGAGCTGCTGTTGAGCAGGGTGATGGCATGAATCACAGATTCATCAGAATGATTCCAGGGCTTTAAAGGGTTAAATTATGAGTTTATGCAGGTTGCATAAATGTGGGGTGTATTCCATTTAATTTAGGAGGTTGACGAGTGATCTAATTGAGGTGTTTAAAATGATAAAGGGATTCAATAGGATAGATGCAGAGAAACTATTTCCTCTGGTGGGGGAATCCAGAACAAGCGGACACAATCTGAAAATTAGAGCTAAACCATTTAGGAGTGAAATCAGGAAGCATTTTTTCACAAAAAGGGTAGTGGAAATCTGGAACTTCCTTCTCAAAAGGCTGTGGGTGCTGGATCCGTTGAAATTTTCAAGAATGAAGTCAATAGATTTTTGTTGGCTAAGGGTATAAAGGGATATGAAACAAAGGCGGGTAAAAGGAGTTGAGGTAAAGATCGGCCATAGATCAGGCTTGAGGGGCTGAATGCCAGACTACTGTTCCTAAGGCTCTTGGGCAGAAGGCTGTGATCTGGGGGTGACCTTGTTTCTCTTTCTCAGATGTTCGAGATATAGCCGTCTACAGGAACGAGCTGCTCTGTCTCCACGCTGACGGCCGAGTCACTCATCTGTACCTGCTGTCGGCGGAGCGCTGTGTGGAACGACTGCTGCGGAGAGAGCTGTGGATCCTGGCTGCACATGTGTGCTGTCTGTACCAGCACTCCGTCACTGGCAGCCGAGTAAGTGCTGTCTGTGTTAGCCCTCCGAGACGCCGTCTGGCGTGAAGGGCGCTATATAAAGTTGTTGTATCAGCTTGTTGACGTGGGGTTGAGAGGGATGACTCTGCCCACGCTATGTTAAGAAGCTGTGTTCTGTGTCTTGTCTCCTCAGGCTCGCAAAGTGCTCCCCATAGACAGACTGGAACATCTGAAGTTGCAGTTAAGCAATGTCTCGGGGCAGCCCCTGATGTCTCAGCTGGAGGAGGTTCTGAGCAGACTGGAGCCCCCAGCTTCGGCCTGCAGCAGCCGGAGGAGCAGCATCTCCTCACACGTAGGTGACCCCGGAAACCTTAATGTTTTCTGCCCATCGCACACACCTGGCTGGGGCCCCCACCCCTCACTCAGCTCTCTCTCCCTCCATCCCTCACGTACACCCGGCCAACACTCCCACCCCTTCGATCCACTTTCCCACCTCGTGCATGGCTAGCTTACCCTCCTCATGCATACCTGGCTGCCCCCGTTCCCACTTAGCTGATGTGTACTCCACGCCCTGGTGCACAGCTGTCTTCCCCCTTCCCCCCACCCCCCCAGCATTCTAGGATATTGACGCTGACCCTTGTCCACAGGAGAGCTTTAACGTGCTGGATTCGGGTATTTACCGGGTGATCAGCAGGCGAAGCAGCCAGTCAGACGAGGACTCTGGCTCTCTGCACAGTCACCAGTCTGAGGAGGAGCCACTGCGGGAGGTGACTGTGCAGCACGAGGAGGAGCAGGCGGAGCAGGGTAAGTGGGAGGGGAGGGGCTGAGCCTCAAAACAGGGCAGAAATTCCACCCAGTCTCAGCCTGCAATTCCACCCACAAATTATATTTGTATAGAGCTGGGGGTTGGGATCAGGAGGGGTGGAGAGCAAGGCGGGTCGGTCAAATTGAAGCAAGTGGCTAGTGGGATAAACTCCTGAATGTGGGAACAGTCACGTTCTTCCAAGACAATTGGTCTCCCCAAGTGGGAATTTTCAAATACTGTGATTTAATGAGCTTTGTATTTGATATCGAACCTTATCACATCATCGGGACATCTCAAAGCGCTTCACAGGTCATGGCTGCCTGTTCAGGTGGACGTTAATGATCCCGTGACACAGTTCAAAAAGCGAAGGGAGTTTCTCTCCCGGTTTCCAGGCCAACAATTCCCGGGATAAAATTGGTCACTCACTCCATGGATGCTTGTGGGACATTGCAATTTGGCTGCTGTGTTCTACAAAATACAGTCAATCCACTTCACAGTGAATCCTGGGGTGCTTTGAGATGTCTCACCAACGTTGATAAGGCACTTTATCAAATGCAAGAATTGTTATCGTAAGTGGCAGGGGGATATATTCTTGGGGAAGGGGGGCTGAGTAAACGGGTCGGTCTCCTTGAAGAAGCGAGGATACCCAAATAAGCACACTGGAAGTGGGCAGACACTGCTGCTGAGTTTGGAGAAGGGCAAAAGGGGGCTCACGGATGTCACAGGTTGGCACTGCTTGGAGGAGTGGCTGTGGTCCTCCTCGGGGCTCAGGGCTTTCCCTTCCCAGATCCCCTTAAAGAGGTGACTGTAGATACTGAGGTTTGAGATACCTGCCACCTATTATCATATTATTTATTATTATACAGAATAAAATCCTGTTCAGGCCCAGAAAGTCTTGCCTCTCCTGCTCCCTTCACCAACCACTACAGGAAAAGATTTGATGAAGACCGTGACAGCATTTTTATTAGATCCAGTCTTGCACACCACTGTGAAGAGTTCAGTTGTTTGTTGACTTGTCTTTTCTGGCACCTTAATCTTAGTTTTAAAGTCACGGAATTTCAACTATTTTCTGTAAGTGCACAGAACCCCTACGCTGTTGTATCACTGTATTGGGAAAATAAAAAAACTTCAAGCTGCGGCAGAATTGTGGAAAGTTCTTTAATTCAGTCTTAACTTAGAGCAGGGACTTTCTCACAGTGTCCTGGCCAACAATCTCCCAAATAACAATGGTTGTTCATTTCATGGCTGTTTGTGGGACATTGCTGTGCGCTAATTGACTGACGTGTTCACCCATAAAAATACAGTCACTGTATTTTGTGTGCAAAATGTAGCAATCAGTTTGTGCACAGCATTGTCCCACAAACAGCCATGGAGTGATGACCAATGTTATTTGGAAGATTGTTGGCCAGGATACTGGGAAGTGCAATGGGATCTTTAACACCCATCTGAACAGGCAGACGGGACCTTGGTTTCATGTCTCATCCGAAGGACAACACTGACAATGCAACACCCCCACCCCCAGCATTGTATTGGAGTCATATATTAGACGATGTGAGGTGAACCCACACATACTCTGACTCAGAGGTGAGAGTGCTACCACTGAGCCAGGCTGAAACGCAGACAATTTAGGAGGAACTACTTCATGCAGAGGGAAGTGAGATTGGGGATCTCTGTGCCTTGAAGCACATTGTGTAGGTGCATTCATGAGGAAACTAGAGTGGCCTGTTTCCATACTGCACAATCTTTGTAAATCTTTAAGTGCTTTGTCTTCGATCGTGCCTTTGGTCGTCCTCCCACCTCTCTGCCTTCCCTCACCTCTACACCACCCTTCCCCATGCTTGGGCCTCGACACCTAACTGTTCAACGCTTTGGGACGTCCTCCCGACGTGAAAGGCACTCTATAACTGTAATTTTGTTGTTGTTGTTGAGACATCCCCTAGCTGTAAAGGCACTATGCCAAATGCAATGATTATTAATAAAGTTGGAAACCTATTTTTCTACAGTCTGGGATAAAATGGTTGATCAGGCTCAATGTGCTCAGTGTCCAGTTTCTTGAGTGTGTGACTGCGTGTGGAGCAGAGGGGAAGCTTGGCTTGTGTTGTTCGGTGCTACCCACTGTTATTCACTGCTTTTTGTTTCTGTTTGTCAGACACCGTCTCCCATTCCTCCCTGAACACCAACAGTGATCGGAGCGAGACCCTGATTCCATTCCACCTTCCATTGTCATTCCGCTCCACATCTCCGCGCCTCTCATTGCAGGCAGTGAAGGAAAGGTAATGCGACCTGTCATGTGCCACGCACCTCAGCTCACACCAGCTCCACCACTCTGCTCCCTAGAGAGTCCTCTGTCTGCACTGTTGTGGGTATGAAAACAGGGTGGAAATCAGGATGTATGTGTGCATCTCTTTTGCTCTCAGTGTAACATATCTGAGTGAGATATGGGATTGGGGGATTGTGTGGGGTCACCTCTATTGTGTCCTGTAGACTGACAGTGTTTAGTTGACATCCCCATTGTATAATCTTGTTTCCAGTGTCTCCAGTTTTGTCAGAAAAACAAAGGAAACCATCGGGACCCTCCATGCGAGCTCTGAGCTGCGATTCAGGGCGGATGTGAAAGATGGTGACCTGTTGTGTGAAACCGTCACTGCTGTAGCCACATGCTCACAGGATCCTGAGCCCGAGTAAGATACTCTTCAACACCACTCCATTCCCAGGATCCCACATCCCAGCTCCCCTTTGCATGTTCTGCCCTACGCCCAAGAACCTGGTGCTCTTCATTACTGTTGAGTCAGTTAGCTTCATTGATCTGTCCTCTTGTGTCATGTCAATAGTCTAATATTTAGTTTAAATCCTCACTGTTCATTCTGCTACCCCAATCTCCACATTAAACTACATTTTGTGCCAGCTTGGCTCAGTTGATAGCACGCTATTCTACCGTAGTCCCTGCTCTGATCCCTGAAGCTTCTGCTAGCTGGCTCCTGCCATCCCACTGCAGCTTGCTGTGATTACCCTCCACTGGCATCGAGACAGCTACTGATCACGGTGCTCCTCTCTGGTTCGCAGGTTCATCGCCAACAGCATTGCCCAGGAACCGGACAAGTTGCAGGAGCTCAGACTGGCCACAGGACAGGCTGTGTGAGTGTGACTGTGTGTGAGCGAGCTTGCGTACAGTATTTCTGTTCCCGTGTGCTGAGTCAGACCTCCTGTGTGTTGCAGAGCTAAGCTGCAGGACCCCTTGGTGCTGTTTGAGACACCCCATCTGAAGGCAGCCCTGCGAGCCTGGCTGCCTCACCTGGAGAAAAACTTTCGTATCAACATCCAAACTCACCCAGAGAACCTCACACATCGGCCAAAGCAGGGGCCAGCCCAGGGACACCGCGAAGAGGAGGGGCCAGCCCAGGGACACCGCGAAGAGGAGGGGCCAGCCCAGGGACACCGCGAAGAGGAGGGGCCAGCCCAGGGACACCGCGAAGAGGAGGGGCCAGCCCAGGGACACCGCGAAGAGGAGGGGCCAGCCCAGGGACACCGCGAAGAGGAGGGGCCAGCCCAGGGACACCGCGAAGAGGAGGGGCCAGCCCAGGGACACCGCGAAGAGGAGGGGCCAGCCCAGGGACACCGTGAAGAGGAGGGGCCAGCCCAGGGACACCGCGAAGAGGAGGGGCCAGCCCAGGGACACCGCGAAGAGGAGGGACCAGCCCAGGGACACCGCGAAGAGGAGGGGCCAGCCCAGGGACACCCCGAAGAGGAGGGGCCAGCCCAGGGACACCCCGAAGAGGAGGGGCCAGCCCAGGGACACCCCGAAGAGGAGGGGCCAGCCCAGGGACACCCCGAAGAGGAGGGGCCAGCCCAGGGACACCCCGAAGAGGAGGGGCCAGCCCAGGGACACCCCGAAGAGGAGGGGCCAGCCCAGGGACACCGCGAAGAGGAGGGGACAGTCCTCGGTCACTGGGAGGAGCCAGCCCAGGGGAAGGAGACATCCCAGGGCCACCGAGAGAAGCAGGAGGAGACAGCTGTGGGGGAGCAAGAGGAAACAGCCCGGGGTCACCAAGAGGAGGAGGAGGCAGCCCAGGTTCACCGAGAGGAGGAGGCGCCAACCCAGAAGGAGCAAGAGGAGGGGAAGACATCCCAGGGCCACCAAGAGGAGCGGGAGGAAACAGTTGGGGAGAAGCAGGAAGAGACAGCCCGGGGGGAGGGGAAGGAGGAAGGCAAGGAGACAGCTGGGGGGCAGCGGGAGGAGCCAGCCCGGGGTCACCGAGGGGAGGGGAAGGAGTCAGCCTGGGGTCACCTAGAGGGGGCGGAGGGGCCAGCCTGGGGTCACCAAAGGGAGGAGGAGGAGGAACCAGCCTGGGGTCACCAAAGGGAGGAGGGGCCAGCCCAGGGTCACCAAAGGGAGGAGGAGGGGCCAGTCCTGGGTCACCAAAGGGAGGAGGAGGAAGGGGGGCCAGCCTGGCATCGCCAAAGGGAGGACGAGGTGCCAGCCCCAGGTCCCCGAAGAGAAGGGGAGGTGTGGGGTGGAGCTGCCCCCTTGCAATCAGAGGCCTTGTTGTCGGTCCCCTTTATGCTGTACCCTCAGACCAGCGTCCCTGCGGAGCTCTTTAAGGAGTTGGTGGAGCTGAGCACGTTGTGCTTTGAGCTGGGGGTGTTCGACACCGAGAGAGAGGAGCCATTCACGGGGCCGGACCGGACCCTCCACGCCTGCCTCTTCATCCGCAACTACTTCTTCCTGTTAGACCTGGGCCGAGTGAAGCGATACATCAGCACCTGCTACGCACACGCTCCCCTGGTGTGGCACACCTTTATCCTGGCACTCAGAGGTAACAGCAACAACTTGCATTTATGTAGCATCTCTTACGCTAGGTAGCTTCCCCCAGATTCCTGCTGCTGGGAATGGGGCAGTGAGAGAAGTGGGTGAGAGTGTGGCGGGCACCGCGCCTCGGGGGTGGGGGCTGTGGGGGGGCAGATGGCTCTGGGGATTATTTTGGCTGTGTGTGTGTTGCAGAGCTGACGCAGTCTGACCCCATCACCGCTGCCCTGGACACCCACAACCTGCACACGTTCCTCAAGTTACTGAGTGGAGAGCAACTGTTGGGGAGTCCGTTTGTGCTCGCCCACGCTAGCAGGTACCAACCCCGCCCACACCCGCGGATACCTGCCCCTCATACAGCCCTGCCCATGCCAGCAGGTACCCCGCCAACCCCAGTATTTACCCCCGCCACCAGCCCCGCCCATGTTAGCAGGTAATAATAATAATTAATCCTTGCATTTGATATGGTGCCTTATCACGTCCTTGAGACGTCTCAAAGCCCTTCACAGAATATAGTGAATTAACTGTATATTTTGTGGGTGAAATACGGCAGCCAATTGCGCTACAGCAGTGTCCCTCTAAACAGTTGTGGATTGAGATACCCCCACCCATGCCCCGCCCATGCCAGAAAGCAGGTATCCCCACCCACCTTCACCAGGAGTATGGTGTTAGGTACTCTCGGTCTGTGAGCCCAGATGCAGAGTGTTGAGACATACAAGGCTGGACATCACAGCTGAGCCTAATCTGAGCCCACAGATTGTCAACTGTCCTGTCTGCAGGTTGTATGAGACATTTGGTGAGGTGGGGCTGAGGTCTCTTGTCCAGTTCTACCCAAGTATCCTTCCGTGTGATATCATGGGGCTGTGTTGGAAAGTCCCGGCCCACTTCCTGGGCTACATGGACAGCCTGGTGAAATCCCAGCCCGAGGAGCAGAGGTCAGTGTTACAGCCATACTCGTATCGGCTTCATTCAGTGTGTCCCTGGGGGTCGGGTGGTTTGTGTGGATGGTGGGGGGGGGCTGTGGTCTGTGCGTGTGTGTTTGGGATTGGGGGGTGCTATGTGTGCGTACGCGTGCGAATGGGGGGGCCGTGTGTGTGTGTGTGTGGGGTGCGTGCGGGGCGGCCAGTGCGTGAGTGTGTGTGTTGAAGTCTCTGCTCTCGCTCAGGCTGTCTCTACTGGAGGAGACACTCCAGCCTCAGTCGTTGCGGGTCCATTGGCTGCAAGTTGCTGTGTCTCACGATGCCCCTCACATGGCTGACATCATGGACGCGGCCGGGAACCCCAGGTAAGAGCCCAGGTCAGTGTGTGTATGAGTCTGTCTGTCAGTTTGTTGGTTGGTTGGTCAGTCAGTGTGCCGGTGGGCGATAGTGCATGATGCTTTGTGCTCTCGCCTCTCGCAGGCCACACTCTCATCGCTTCTCCTGGGGCTTCGCTCAGCTGATTGGCCACTTCATACAGTTGCCGGCAGACCAGGACACCAAGGAGAAAATGGCTGACATCTGTAAACATTCTGGGTAGGTCTGACCCTGGGGCGAGCGAGCGAGAGGCCCGGGGGGCGGTGGTGGGGGGAGGATTGGGATGGTGTGGGGGAGGGAAGATGTCCTGTGCCCATTGTCTGACTCTGTGCTGCTGGACAGGTTCTGGCCTGGCTTCCTGGCGCTGTGTGCACAGCTGGAGTGGCGGCTTGAAGCTTTCACCATCATCGTGCATCTGGACGACATCAGCTTACTGGATGGAGAGAACGGTGTGTGTGCCCCTGGTCACCAAATCTTCCACACCCACGCGGAGAAGTGGGAGGGGTGCTTAATAGACTCCCGTAGTGTAATGGTTAGCACGCTCACCTCGCAAGCGAGATGACCCGGGTTTGATTCCCGGGTGGGGTGAACCCCTGGGCAAGTTTTTTTTTTACTTCTTACTCCACATGGCTCTGTTTGCCTAGCAGTAAGTAGGAACCAATTGTTAGTCGATTGGCGGATCGCTTTCTGAAGGTAATAATCTCTTCAAAAAAAATGTGGTTGTTCAATCCACGATTGTTTGTGGGACATCGCTGTGCGCAATTAGCTGCTGTGTTTTGCCCACAAAATACACTGTCAGTCCATATCTCAGTATATTCTGTGAAGCTCTTTGAGACATTTCAACGACGTGATGAGGCGCTATATCAAATGCAATGATTATTATGATTACTGGGGGAGTGAGTGTCTCTGGGCGGTGGCCTTGATCAGTAACTGGCGTGTGCTGCTGCAGGGCTGATGCCGGAGACGGTTGAGGAATGGCGGGTTGTGCTGGAATTGGCTGGGAGCCTGCATGAGGCCGGACACCGCCCTGCGCTGCACAACGGGGACGTGGAGCCGAGCGGCAGCCTGGACCCTGAGAGCGTGGCCCTGCTCCTCGCCAAAACCATTGGCCCCGAGCGGGCGCTGGCCGTGCTGCAGGATAGCGGCCTGGCCGGGCGTCTCTCACACAGGTTCACAACCGTCTGTGACATCCTGAGCATCGCAGAGAAAAGGCAGCGGTAAGTCCCCCTGAAGTGGAAAGTGCTTTATTAATATCTGGTGGTGGTGGGTGGGGGAAGGGAGTGGGGAGGAACTAGCTGCTGGTGGTGGGGCGGCGAAGGGAACTAGCCAGGGTGAACATTTAGCCCAGAAATGCTGCAATGTGTCTCTGCTGTGTTACAGAGCTCTGATCCAGTCAATGCTGGAGAGATGTGACCGCTTCCTGTGGTCTCAACAGGCATAGCAAGATGTTCCTCTACTCAGAACCAGCGTTGAGTCACACAGAGCCCCCGCCACCACACACACACAGACATACATCCGTGCCGCCCCCCCCCACACAAACACACATACATCTGTGCTGCCCGCTACACAAAAAACACATCTGTGCTCTTCCCCTCCCCCCAACCACACACACACATCTGTTCCCCACCAAGAGGAAATAGGCACTGCTCTTCCTCAATGTGCAATATTCTGCTGCTGCTCTCTACCTCTTGTTCTCCCACTTTCTCCCTTTCACTCTGTTCACTCTTATCTCTTGGGAGATGGTCCCTCTCCCCGCCAGCTCCCTGCTGGGCTGCTCAGCACCGCGCTGTCAGGGACAATCCCACGCAGAGTGGACAGTGTTTATGTACAAAATATAATAATGCATTGTATATCTTAAATAAAAAAGGAATATAGTATTTATTCAAAGTGTGTCTGAGTCACTGGATTCTTGGTTTGTTGTGGCAAAGGGCTGGGGTCCAGACTGCGACCGAGGAGCAATGAAATGCAAGTTGTCTGGGAACAATTTCGGGGGAAAAATAAGTGAAATTGTAGATTTTTTACAGGGATGGAAGCTGAGAGACAGAAATGGACGACATCAGCACGGTGGTGGGCAGAGAATGAAAGAAGGATTCTATGGTGCGTTTGGTACAACAAAAACTGAACAGCGCCTGACGCCAAGCGGGGGAGAGGGGGGAGTTACCGCAGGCATTGTCAAAGAGGAAGAAATGATCTGGAGGCAGACGAGAAGGGGGGGGGGGGGGGGGGGGGCGAGGAGGCAGAGGGCTTGAGGCAGAGAGTTCCATAAGTTTTGGGGAGTGAAGGCTGAAGCACGGCCGCTGATGGTGGAGCAGCGGGAACGAGGGACCAGCAGGAGGCCGGAGCCCGCTGAGCGAAGGCGGCGGGTGGTGGAGTGGGGACTGGGCAGGTCGGGAAGGAAGGGCGGCTGCCAAGGTGTGAAGTTGGCTCTTGGCCAACAACAACAACAAGATTCCATTTATAAAGCGCCTTTCACGTCAGGAGGACGTCCCGAGGCGCTGCACAGTTGGGTCATGACCCGAGCATTGGGGGGGAATGGTCAGGGTGAGGGGAGGGAAGGGAGGGAGCGAGGAGCGGGGAAATGGTCAGGGTGAGGGGAGGGAGGGAGGGAGCGAGGAGGGGGAAGAGAGTCGAGAGGGGAGCTGAAGGCTCGGTCAACAGGTGTTGAACGCTCTCCCGTGTCGGGGGAATTTCCCTGTGGGAGAGCGCCCGTGTGCGTCCCATTCCAGGGAACAGCCATGTGGAGGCGGTGTCCGGGGACCTCCGTCTGCTCTGGAGACGGCTTGAAGCCGAACGATGAGGTGCGAGAAGATACCGAAACGCAACGCGTGGCCGCGAGGTGGTGCTGTGGGCGGGGTCTGGGGGGCGGTGGGCGGGGTCTGGGGGCGGTGGCGGGGTCTGGGGGGCTTTGTCGGGGTCTGGGCCGCTGGGCGGCGCTGTGGCGGGGTCTGGGCCGCTGGGCGGCGCTGTGGCGGGGTGTGGGCCGCTGTGGCGGGGTCTGGGCCGCTGGGCGGCGCTGTGGCGGGGTGTGGGCCGCTGTGGCGGGGTGTGGGCCGCTGTGGCGGGGTCTGGGCCGCTGGGCGGCGCTGTGGGCCCGGTGCTGAGGTTGGGGCCTATGAGCGCGAGAAGTTTACAGCCATCAACAGAGAGACAGTGAACACAGAGTGTGTGTGTGTGTGTGGGAGAGAGTGAGAGTAACAGAGGGAGGGAGTCGGGGCGGTTGGGTCGGGTTCCCGGGCGGGAATGGACCGGAACCCGTCGCCGCCGCCGGGCGGCTCTGAGTGGGAGGAGGAGGTGGTGAGAGGCGACGCCATCGGGGACACAGTGTACAGCAGACACTGGCTCTTCAGCACATTACTGAGGCTCATACAGGTAACCAATCCCTCCGCCGGCATCACTGTCACACACACACACACACACACACAGAGAGAGAGCCCTATCACATCGGGAGGGCGTCTCAAAGCGGAATTAGTGTGAAGTGTAGTGACTGTGTGTTGTGTAGGCCAACATGGCAGCCCGTTACACACAGCCATGACGAGTGAGTGACCAATTTTATTGGGGGAGGGGGGGGGGGAGTGTTGGCCAGGACCCCCCCCCCCCCCCCCCCGGGCGAGAGCGAGACTATCTTCTCCGTTCCAGGGGCGCGGGCGGTGGGATATATAGAAAAAACACGTCTCGTGTATTTTGAGGGCGAAAACCCGGAACACCTTCACGGGATTACTCTGTTGAGATGTAGTGACTGTGTGTTTTTTTTGGGGGGGGGGCTAACGCGGCAGGCGGTTTGCGTCGTCCCGCAAACAGCCGCGGATTGAATGACTGGTTTATCTGGGGGTTTGGTGGCCCGGACGCTGCAGCAGGAGAGTTGGACGCTCCTTTCACTGAATTCCTGGAAGACGTGATAAGGCATTTTATCAAATGGGAGGATTATTATTATTATTTTCATGGGCTCTGGTGCTTCACGTGTCCAGGCTGCCGGCTGCTGCTCACAGGGGCCTGCTCTCTCCTGCTGATCCTGAGCAGGAAGAACACGCTTCGGTCTGTTGTGTGTTGATGTGGCCGGAGCTGCTGCCCCGACCCCCAAACCCCTTCCTGTAGTGGTGTTACTGAGACTCCGTCCTTTCCTCAGCTCGTGACTCCTAAGGGTGACGATTCAGACTCGGTGGAGACGGAGCTGGATGAAGAGGTGGAGAGTGAGATTTGTAAGGTCTGGGACATGTCAATGGATGAGGTAAGTGGACATCGCTGTCTGCCTGCTTGACCTGGTGACTATGTACTGACTGCTCTGCCCTGTGTCTCTGTGTGTACTGACTGCTCTGCCCTATGTCTCTGTGTGTACTGACTGCTCTGCCCTGTGTCTCTGTGTGTACTGACTGCTCTGCCCTATGTCTCTGTGTGTACTGACTGCTCTGCCCTGTGTCTCTGTGTGTACTGACTGCTCTGCCCTGTGTCTCTGTGTGTACTGACTGCCTTGCCCTGTGTCTCTGTGTATGAGGTGAGTCACTACCCTGATCCTCACCTGCACTGTGCTTGTGTATTTGCAGGATGTTGCTGTTTTCCTCCAGGAATTCAACGCTACAGACATCCTTCTGGGTGTCATTGGAAAATCAAAGTGTCCTCGACTGACGGTGCGTCCAGGATAGTGGCTGCTATTGCAGGGGTTGCTGCTGTGTGGGTAATGCAGCCGAGACTGAGTACAGTGTAAATTGTATAACTCGGGACCATAACATTTAATGTGACTTATCCGAAGTCCGAATTGCAGGCAAACTGTATAAGTCATATAAAATCTGATTTATTCAATAATCGAGAATGCATATGTGCAATTCACTGCAACCGGTAAGTATGCATGCAGTGATGGGTCAAGATGGGTCTAGATGACATGGGGTGGGGGGCAACATTATGAGTTTGGAGGTGGTGCACAAGTAGTGCAAGAAAAATTAAGTGGTTTTGATAGGAAACTGAATGGAACTTGGGTGAATGTACCATTTAGGCAATTATGTATTAGATTTATGAAGACAAGACTTGTGTGAGATTTACTGTGTTCAAACAGAGGTTTTCCTCAGGTGATGGCATATGGGAGAGGAGGCCAGGGAGTTGATGGTTTGATCTTTTCCATTTCGCTGTTTACCTGTGTGATTAAAACAAAGCGTTGTACCGCTCAATCCACAACTGTTTGTGGGACACTGTTGTGCACAATTGGCTGCTGTGTTTTGCCCACAAAATACAGTCAATTCACTTTACAATATATTCTGTGAAGTGCTTTGAGATGTCTCAAATATGTGATAAGGGGCTATATCAAATGCAAGGATGATTATTATTATTATTAATAAAGAGTCTCTTTCCCCGTGGACAGGAGATCTGTGTGGGCATTCTGGGCAACATGGCGTGTTATAAGGAAACCTGCCGCTCCATTACCAGCAACGAGAACTTGGTGTGAGTATTGGTTGCTGCCTTGCACGGTGGCTCTGATTGTCTTCTCCCTCTTAAATTTCTTCTGATTCACATACAGCAATGTCCCACAGCCAGAAGGTGAATGAGCCAGGTTATTTGGGGGATTGTTGGCCAGGACACTGGTAGAGAGAAACCCCCTTCTCTTTTTCAATCATCTCATGGAATCTTAATATCCACTTGAACGGCAGATTGGACGGGACCACAGTTTAGTGTCTCACCTGAAGGACGGCACCTCCAACAATGCAGCGCTCCCCCAGCACTGTGGAGTGTCAGCCTGGAGTGTGCGTTCACTCAGTCCCACAACTTTCTGACCTGGAGGTGAGAGTGTAAATGACTGAGTCAGGCTGAGAGCTAGGATTCCGCACTTGTGTCCTGACCTAGGCTGGAATCTAGTTCTTGTAAGAATTTAATGCACTCTTGGGTTAACTTTGCTATCTCCATGCTTCCTCTCGGGGACAGGCCTCAGTGCTCTGGTTTAGGGAAGGGAAAATCAGCAGGGAATCCAGTCCTCTCACTATTCAGAGACCACTCCCTGCCTGTGTGTGTGTCTGTGTGGATCAGGTAAGGGCAGGGCTCGCCTTTGCTGCCATAGACTCTGCCCAAGGCCGATGCACGAATGACGGCTTCTAGGGTGAGGTACCAGAGGGCGGAGTGGGACTTTACCGGTGTGGGGGCGGTGCGCGGACTGGTGGGGGTGGAGATAGGTGTAGGGCCACTGACTGGTGGGTGGGGGTGGTGTAGGGTCACTGACTGACGTGTGTGTGTGTGTGTGTGTGTGTGTGTGTGTGTGTGTGGTGTAACAAACACTGACTGGACTCTCTTGGCCCCACAGTGAGGTGCTGATTTTACTGCTCGGTGACACGGACCCTCCCACTCTCCTGGAGACCAGCAGGTACATGATTTAAGGATTTACACGTAACCTAACCTGTATTATCCTCAGCTGCAGTGAGACTGAGAGTACCCACATTGTTGAGTAACAGTGAGACTAACACTGTGTGAGTAACAGAGAGACTCCAAAGCATTGACACAGTGTGGGAAATTGGAGTTGAGCCCTGCAGTCAGAGTACTATAGTTTGTGTTTCCCTGTCTAACCCAGGGTGGGGTTGGCCAGTTTAGCCCCACTGCTGTCTGCTGTGGTGTCTTGGTGCTATGCTAACCTCCTGTGTTGTGCGTGTGACAGGTTGATACTGACGTGTCTCTCTCAGCCTGACATGGCCAGGACCTGGGCAGAGCAGATTGATAAAGAACGGTCTGTTCAGGAGAATGTCTGCTTCATAATGAGGAGCTCCACAAACTGTGAGTGTCTGGGGGAGGCAAGGTGGGGGGCGGGGGAGGTGGGTTGAGGAAGCAGGGGTTGAGGAGGGGAGTTCATGTGTGGTCGGGGTCGAGGCCTGGATTAAGGTTGGGGCAGACAGTCATGTGTGGTCTCTCTGCTCCTGTGTAGCTGATTTGCTGGTGAAGGTCGGTGAGGTGGTGGATAAACTGTTCGACTTGGACAAGGAGCTGATGCTGAGCTGGGTTGCGGGCTGCAAGCCGCAGCCTGAGGCCTCGGGCCTTGAGCAGGAGGAGGGCTCGGAGCTGGAGCTCATCCCCTGCTTACTGGAAGCTGCCAGGCAACTCAGGTGTGTAGATGCAGCACAGTCCCCTCTCCTGTCAGGAAGCAATCTGATTGCTGTGTGTGCAGTATGATTGCCGTGTGTGCAGTATGATTGCCGTGTGTGCAGTATGATTGCCGTGTGTGCAGTATGATTGCCGTGTGTGCGGTGTGATTGCCGTGTGCGGCGTGATTGCCGTGTGTGCGGCGTGATTGCCATGCGTGTGGTGTGATTGCTGTGTGTGCTCTTGCTCAGGTCGGACAGCACTGAGGGGCTGGAGGTTTACATGCACATCCTGCAGTTGCTCACCACGGTGGATGAAGGGATCCAGGCAATAGGTAACCTCTTGTTCTGCTGTGTTCTCACTGTATTGAATTGTATTGAAACGAGTCTTGAAAGACTGGAGTGAACGAGTCGGAGAGACTCGGGGATGGAGTTCCCGAGATCGGGGGCAGAATGGCTGAAAGCTGCCCCCTCCCTCACCCCGATAATGGGGTAGACAGTGTGGGGACATGAAGCCTCCTGAGCAAAGGGAGCAGCAGGGTTGGTTTGAGGAGGTCACAGAGGTAGAGAAGTGGCGAGACCGTAGAGGGATTTAACGGTACAAATGAGGATTTGGGACGTTCTCCCGACGTGAAAGGCACTCTATAAATGTAATTTTGTTGTTGTTGTTCATCAACTCCAGGCTCGACTATGCTTGTTGACCTTCCCAACTCCTCCCTCCACAGGCTGCAGATAATCCAGAACTCTGCAGCCCATGTCCTCTCCTGCACCAAACTCCGTGACCCCATCTCCCCCATTCTCGCCCGACTCGATTGGCTCCCTATCCTTCACAGGATCCACTTCAAAATCCTAGTCCTCACCTACAAAGCCCTCCATGGGCTCACCCCACCCTACCTCTGCGACCTCCTAACCCCCTACCAACCCACCCGTTCCCTCAGCTCAGCCGGCTCCAGCCTGCTCCACGTCCCCCGACACACCCGCCCCACCATTGGCGGGAGAGCCTTCAGCCACACTGCCCGAACCTCTGGAATTTCATCCCCCAATCACTCTACCTCGCCCCCTCCTTAGCCTCCTTCAAGTCCCACCTCAAAATGCTCCTCTTCGACCATGCCATTGGTCGCCCCCCTTCCCCTTCCCTCCCTTCTCCCCCCTGACCCCAGGTTGGGTCTAAAATGCTGTACACTGTCCAGCACCTTGGGACATCCTCCCGACGTGGAAGGCACTTTACATTACAAATGTAATCTTGTTGTTGTTGATCCTCTGGGGGATGGGGAGCTGAGTGAGTACGAGGATGATAGACTCACGGAGCCTGATGCAAGAGAGGTTGGGGATGGGTCCTTCTCTGTGTCCTACTCCTCATGTTTTCAGCCTCTAGTCACCATTTAGCCTCAGCTCTATTCCGACCTGCTTACCCTCCACTCCACCACCCGCTGCCTCCACTCGGCTGTCTCCGGCCTCCTGTTCGTCCCTCGTCCCCTCCGCTACCCCATCGGTGGTCGTGCCTTCAGCCAGTATGCCCCGAAACTGGAACTCTCTCCCTCAATCCCTCCGCCTTGCCCCCTCCTTCCCCACCTTCAAATCCCGCTTAAAGACCTTCCTTTAGATCGTGCTTACGGTCACCTCCCTCTCCCCCTGGTTCGGGGTCAGACTCCACCACTGTCAAGCGCTCCGGGACGCTAACCCGCATGAAGGGCACTATATAAAGTTATTTTTGTTGTATTTGTCGCCTGCTGAGTAAAGGATGCTCTCTCCCTGCAGTGCAGTCCCCAGACCGGGGCAAGGAGACATGGGCCTTGCTGTATGAGGTTGTGCGTGCTGATCTGTGCCAGGCTGACGAACCAGCCATCACCATTGAGGAGCAGGCGGGGTTGCTGGCCCCCACCCTTGCAGTCCTCTCTGCGCTGTTTGCCTCCCACCTGGAGGCCGACTACATCAAGGCAGAGGAACGTGAGTTGAGCCGAGGTCACCGGTGGTGGTGGGGGGTGGGGAGGGCAAACCTTTCCTGGGTCACATGCTCTCTGTCGTGTGAATGCATCATAAGTTTCAGTTTGTAAATTCTTTCCTAGTGTTGTGATGCACACAGGTATTACAAACGTGTGGTGGGTTCTCTACCTAATAAACGTGTAGCATGTGCTCCATCTGCTGAATGTGTCCTGTGTCTGAGCCCCGTGTGTATAGCGTGTCCTGTGACTGACTCCCGTGTGTGTGTAGCGTGTCCTGTGTCTGAGCCCCCGTGTGTGTAGCGTGTCCTGTGTCAGACCCCATATGTGTAGCATGTGTGCTCTGCTCTTGTCAGCATTGTTGTTATTGTGTGACAGATCGCATTCTGCTGACCATCCTGCTGCGAGTCTTGTTGTACATGGAGGAATGTAGGAAGAAGCCTCGGGAGGGAGTGAGGAAAGCCAGTGTGGACCAGTGGTCAGTGCCCCAGCCCCAGCCTGGGGCACCGAGGCCCAAGCGACGAGAGGGAGACGTCCACCTGACCATCCTCCAGGAGGTCTGCTGTGACTTCCTCTCAGAACTCTTCATGGAAGTTTCCAAGGTCTGGATTTACATGTAATTTGTGCATGACTGCGACGTGTCCAGTGTGGCTGTGCAGCGTGTCGTGTGTAACTGGGGTGTGTGTCTGGGGACACTACCCTGGGTGAGGGGCACTATGTAAACACAAGTTGTCGCTGTTGTCCCGAGTGACTCCAGTGTGTCCCGTGTAACCCCTCTTGTTATGTGTGTTTACAGGAGACGGTGTGTCAGGGGTTTAAGGACGGGAACCTGAGCTTGGAGAGCTGTAGCCGGGCCCTCCGGCACCTTCTCCCCCTCCACCACACGCCGGTGAGTAACAGGATCAGTGGCTGATCCCCGGCTCAGGCCGATGGGAGCTGGGTATTAATATTGAGGTTTTGGTGAAAGAAGGTCCTTTTGGCAATTTGACTAAGGCAATTTTGACTAATCTTTCCCGAAACCCAACGGACTGCCCACCCCCCCCCCCCCCCACTCCCAGCGGGTGGGGGTGTGCTGACAGTTACTTTATACATTGAGTTGGACCTGGGTTTACTTACTCTGTGTTTACCGGGTTTGTTACAGTTACAGACTGTCTCATGGGAGCAACGCTGCTAGCCCCATTGAGAGGGGCAGAGGGTACCTGGATTGCCAGTTTGCCCCCCTACTGCCTAATCTTTGCCCTCTGTGCCCCCTGTACTCACCGCTGATGTTTCACCATTTTCTGCAGGTTAAACGATTTCACCAGTTGCTGACAGAGGTGGAGCCAGACTGTGCGGAGAGATTACTGCTGGAGTTTCCCAGCCTCAAGTCCTGAGTGGCCAGGTGTAGAGTCACGGCTACGGAGGAGAGAGCAGGGGCCGAGTTGGTAGCAGGCGGGGCGGAGGGAGAGAGAAGCTGTGCCTAATACACCTTCAGTGGACAACGTCAGAACCCCCGGGGTTGGCTTCTGAACAGTGATGTATACATTCTTACCCCCACTCCTCACAAAACAAGACTGAGACGGACACTTGCCTCGTTCACTTTGTCGACTGTGACTGAAGCTTTCTACTGGCGTCCGACGTGTAGATGAACTGACATGATGGATTGACAGCAGCCGCAGGGCCTGGTGGTGCTTGGAGCCGAGCCCTGTCCTGGTTAAGCTGTGGCCTCTCAGGGACCTGCCACTGGGCAGTGCTGAGGCTTGTGCTGGCAAACCGTCCCCTCAGCCCTCGTCCCCACCCTGATGTACATAGCCCTGATTCCTGAGTTTGTACAATAAATGACGCTCTGTCGCGCTTGGTGTTTCTGGTCCTTGCTGGTCGGCCGCTGGTGCCTTCAACTGTTCCCACACGTGTTCTCCCGTTAGATCCACCCTCATAATGGAACATCCGGATCAAAGCCCGGGATATCTCAGACCTGTCAGCCAGAGGGAGGAGCACACCCAGAGTAATAGCATGTTACATCCAGAGTCTCTGTATAGGGAGAGAATGTAATAATGTGTACACTTTGGGTGTTCTAGTGGGATCTCAGTTACATGAAGGGAATTTCCAATTTTAAACGTGTATATTCCTGGAAAGGATTTGCACCAGGCAGTAGATATAAGCTGTGACATCTCCTTACGTTGCTAATTGGGGTTTTGGAATGGGATGCTTTGTGCTCCAAATTTGTTACTGGGTAAGTGAGAAATAAACTGTCAGAACTGTTAACATCACTGGTACTCAGCCCAGCAAACAATTACCTCTTGTATGGAGACATCAAGTAACCTTAACTCACGGATCTGAAACAGGACTGTGCTTCTGAGTCTATACCACATATGCCACAATACACTGATGTTTATTCCAGTTATAAACACCAGCACTAATGTTTGGTTTCCAATATGATACAGGAATGGTGGGTGGAATGACTGAACCTGTTCTCAGAGACACGGTGATGCAGTGAAGGAAGCACAATAGAGCCTGCTTGCCGTCCGAGGTCAACCACCGAAAGCACAGTCATTAATTCCGCAATTTAGATGCCAGGAAGCCTGTTGGCCTCAGTGAGGTGATGGATGAGCTGATGTGCAGTGACAGGTCAGCCTCTGCAGCGGTGCCCTTTGGCCTCGCTGTGCCCAGTGATTCCTCAGTGACTCACCCACACTTTCCATCTCATTTCCTTTCATTTCTTCAGCTTCCCTTCCCAAAGTGGCCAAGGAAACACACACGAGTTAGGACCTCGGCAGCCCCTCCAGCAATCTGGCCAGTCCACTTGCTCCTCAAGTTTCACAAGATCCAATCACAACTATTGGAAAGTGGTTCAGATAGTTGAGTATTGTCAGCCTGACTTAATCCATAGCACTTGCTTTGGGGTTAGAAGATTGTGGACTTAAGCCCCATGTCAGGATCTTGAGCTCACATCTAGGCTGATGTTCCAGCACAGTTCTGGGGAAGCGCTGCAATGTCTGAGGTGTCGTCCTTTGGATGTGTCATTAAACCGAGGTTCCATTTACCTGTACCGGCAACCGTAAGGGATCCTATGAAATTAGTGGGAAAGAAAAGGAAGTTTCTCTCATTATCTTGGCCAACAATCCTCTAGATAAAATTTGATGTTTAACTCATTGGCTGGGTGTGGGACCTTGCTGGGTGCAAATTGGCTGTTGTGTTCACCTTGAAGGACACAGTCACTACGTTATGTAGTGTGACTATGTTTAGGTACTGGATCTGGGCAGCTTGTAGATGCTCATTTAAAGCAGCTCATTGTAAGGCAGTGACTAGGAAGATGAGTAACATTTTAATAATAATAAACCTTGCATTTGTTATAGCGCTTTATCATGTCAGAAGGATGTGTCAAAGTGCTTCACAGGATTTACTATGAAATGGAGTCACTACGTATTTGTAAGCAAATGTGGCAGCACAGTTTGTGGACAGCACTGTTCCACAAATAGCTATGTATTGAGTGACCAATTTTATCTGGGGAAGGAGACCGGGAGAGAGAAACTCTTCTCTTTTTGAATAATGCCATCGGAACTTCAATATCCACCTGAACAAGGAGACAGGACCTCAGAAGGAATAGAGCTTAGCTCACAGTGAGTGATAGTGGGTTTGTACAGAGTGCTGTCCAGCTGCGCTAGGAGTAGTGTGTAACGTTCAGGAGACTGTATTACAGTGGTGACATCTAGAGAGAGGAAAGATGTGGCATTGGGCACCGGAGGGAGGAGGAAAGCAGGAATGTGGAAAGCTGGAGGAAGAGAAGGTTAAAGTGTCTGAAGGTACAGACACAAGCCCCAACATGCTGTCAATACATTACTTTTTCTGATCAGTCAAGTTACAAAAAGCCTCTGTAATTCTCTTCGGCAGAGTTCATTTGCCAAGGTTTGTTGCAGGTGTTTTGACATTGGTGGCGGTGCTGACCCAATTAATCAGATTTATGAGCCACCCTTCCTGCAATAGTGCTGTAGTGCTCACTCACCACCTGATGGCAGCAGGTGTATGGGACAGAGACTTTACCTAAAGTTTGGTTTAAAGTTGCTGACATGCTGCGAGCCCCATCGGGGGTTACCCTGGCCTTGGCCACAGCTATTTCTCCATTAGTCATTCTACCGCCTTCATTCCAGACACAATACTGCACTGGACTCCTGCATTGGCACTGGGTATTGGAGCATTAGCTCACTCCAGAAAAGGGTAAAGGGCATCGAACCAGCAAATCCACACTAACACAACATGTCCTGGCATAACCCAACTCAACATGCCCTCAGAACAACATACAGATCAGCACATGCTATTAACACATTCTAACTCGGCTCAGCAGAGGGCACTCCCCAAAGCACTTCCAAGAAAACAAAGTAACCTGGGCCACTGGGAGAGCAGGTTTCAGTGCTATGGGTTAGCTGCTGAACCCGCAGCTTGTTGCTGTCTCCTTCAACACCACTTCACTTACTTCTCTGTAATAGACGTTCTCAGCACCATTAGATCCACAGTGTCCCCATCATGTGTTCTCAAAAGAAAACTTCAATGTTAAGGACATTGTGTGTATCCTATTGACGAAAGCTGACACAAAGGAAAGGTTGGCAGCTCGGTACCAGCTGAAGTAATGGAAAATATTCTATGTTTAATTAAAGGTGAATTGATGGACGGGCGCTTTGTGATGTAGATAAACAAAGTGGCCTCTGAAAGGTTAATCAAATGGAAAGCTTGCTGCTGGATAAAGAGATTCAGTTGCAAAGCTAGGATTGTCCTATGTACAGGAAGGAGAGGGAGGAGGCAGGCAATCTGAGCAAGGGTAATCATAATAATAATCTTTGTATTTGATTTAGTGCCCTTACCATATCGTCATGGTGACTCAAAGCGCTTCTCAGGATACATTGTAAAGTGGATTGACTGTATTTTGTGGACGAAATGCGGCAGCCAGTTGAGCTCAGCAATGTTCTACAAACAGTGATGGAGTGAGTGACCAATTTTATTTCGGGGATTCTTGGCCTGGACACTGGGAGAAAGAAACTCCTTTGTCTTTTCGAATAGTGCAATGGGATCTTTAACATCTACCTGAACAGACATATGGGACCTTGGTTTAATGTCTCATCCAAAGGATGGCATCTCCGACAATGCAACACATCCCCAGCAATGCACTGGAGCGTCAGCCTAGACTGTATGATTCCAAGTCCCCACGTGAGGCAGGTGAGGGGGTGTCCTCAGCCCATTGTCGGAAGTGTTGTCCTTCAGATGAAATGCTAAACCAGGTCCCGCCTGCCTGTTCAGGTGTATATTAAAGATCCCAAAACACTATTCAAAAAGAGAAGGGAGTTTCTCTCTCCCGGTGTCCTGGCCAACAATGTCCCAATTGGTCATTCACATTGTGGTTATATGTGTGACATTTACTGTGTGCATTTCGGCTGCTGTGTTCACTCACAAAACACACAGTTACTGCACTTTACAGTGTATCCTGTGAAGCACTTTGAGTTGTCTCGATGACATGGAAAGGCACTATATCAAATGTAAGGATTATTATATGAGTTCTTCTTTCCCTGTGATGCTGTTGCTCCGTTTCCCAAGCCTGACATCTGGGTGCCTGGTGGTGTTGGGCTCTGTGGTCTCCCAGCTGACCTGGAGCGTCCCCTGGGAGCTGAGGGCCCGGCAGGGACGGACTGTCCTGAGACCATGCGAGACGGAATCGTAGCGAGGTTCTGGACCTTTCTACAGTGTTCCTGTCAGATGTTGCCCTTCAATCTCCATGACAGACTATGTGAGGAGACAGCTCCCTGTGGGATGGCCGGGGAGGTGATTGCTCAGGTTAAGACTCAGTGGGCTGGGATCGGGCTGCGGCCGCTCGTGTGTGAGGAGATACTGTGGGCAGCTCCCAGGGCGGTTGAGCTCACAGAGAGCTGACAGACCAGTGCTGGGTAATGTGCTCTGACAGCCAGTCCCTCCCACATTACCTGCAGCTGGCAGTAGGTATCAGTGGGCAATCTCAGTTCCTCTGCCACGCAGAGAATCTCATCGTCTCCCATCAATGCAAGTGGCGCTATATACATGTAAAATGGTACTGTAAGAATTACTGTATAATAATAACAGTAATAATAACTGGCAGGTGGGTTTAGGTTGCAAGGATCATTAATAATAATAATCCTTGCATTTGATATAGCCCCTTATCATTTCTTTGAGATGTCTCAAAGCGCTTCATAGAATATACTATATATACTGCATGTTTTCTGGGTGAAACGCGGCAGGCAATGGCACACAGCAGTGTAGTCACACAGAGTCGCAGATTGAGTGACCAAATTATTATTTCTTTATTTTTGATTATTACCCGCAGAAAAGCGATTCACCAATCAACTAACAAGCGGGTTCCTACTTACCCGTTGGTGGTTTCAGGCAGGTCACTGCTGACACTGGTCCTCACCTACAAAGCCATCCATGGCCTCGCCCCACCATATCTCTGCGACTGTCTAACCCCCTACCAACCCGCCCGCTCCCTCCACTCAGCCGGCTCCGGCCTGCTCCATGTCCCCCAACCCACCCGCCCCACCATTGGCGGGAGAGCCTTCAGCCACTCTGCCCCCAACGTCTGGAATTTCATCCCCCAATCACTCCGCCTCACCTCCTCCTTAGCCTCCATCAAGTACCGCCTCAAAGCCTTCTCTTCGACAATGCCATCAGTCACCCCCCTTCTCCTTCCCTGACCCCAGCTCGGGTCTGAAATCTGTACACTGTCCAGCGTCTTGGGATGTCTTCCCAACATGAAAGGCGCCATACAAATGTAATGTTGTTGTTGTAGTAGTCTGGGCCCTGTGAAATGTGAGTGAGTGAAACAGAGTGAATCTCCT